TCCTTATCTAATATTTATTTTATGCTCTAAAAATTATTTAATTGTATCAATCTTCTCTTTGTGATATTTTTCTTTGTTTTTAAATGTGGAAATAGCAAGACTAAGGATTACAATCTGGCTTAAAAACATTGAGCCACTGTCAGGCCCACATTGCATTGCATACATTATTTCATTTACTTATTTCCAGAGCACTTTAAGGTGAATACTGTTAGCCACCTAATATGAAACAGAAGGATGTTGAGTGCCTTTGCCAAGATCATACATTTAATAAATTCCTTCCAAGGGGCTGGGGATTTAGCTCAGCGGCAAAGCGCCTGCCTGGCAAGCACAAGGTCGTGAGTTCGGTTCCCGGTACCGGAGAAAAACCAAAAACTAAAAAATAAATAAATTCCTTCCAAATATTTACTTTAAAAAAAAATCTGTTTAATTCCATTTTTTACCTGGAGATGGTTTTCATAATGGTCTTCAAGTGTGCTTTTAATGTCATTGTTTTCCAAATTGTTAAATGATTGTTTCATCACCAGATTTTGAACAATCTTTACATTCACTTGGTTTTTGTTGGATCCTGAACTATTCATTAATTTCTTACACATATTATTTCCAGACATTTTGCCATAAATTTCAAAATCAATTTGTCTTTGTGCTGTATGAAAGATATGTTTGGTTTATCTTATTTTAGAATAAATCGTCTATTTCAGTAATTGACCAGACATCAAATTTATCTAGTTTATCATAAAAATGTAACGTAGAAGTACATACATTGAATAACATCATATTAATGATGAGGTATCTACCTTTAAATTTAATATACCTTAAATTTGCTATTGTTTTGGGGTACAGGTACAAGCTAATAGATCTTTATAATGATTAGTAATTTGTTATTGTTTTATGGTACAGGTACAAGCTAACAGATCTTTATAATAATTAGTAATTTTGTATTTTGAAGATCGTTTCCAAGAAAAGTCAAAGTTGATTCATCTGCGTGAAAATGAATTAGATTTTCCTTTTTTGTTTTCTCTGATACAAAAGATGAACCACTGCGGAACGCAGGTCCCTATCTGGCTGTCGCTGAGAGACTCAGAAACACTGCCCCCTCCTGGGCAGACCCGGCATCTGACCGCTTGTGCCACGTGGCAGTTTTTGTTGGGCCCCGGGACAGACTGCTGTCTCTTTCAAATCCCGGTGTCTGTAAGAAACTGTGGGAATTTTTCCGTGTACTTTCTCCAGCCCACTCAGGGATGCATGGGCTACTGTGCAGAAGGTGAGGAATTGTTGGTGATACACATGAACTGCCATTCGTGGGTCTCTGTGGGTGTATTTGTGCCGTGCTCTGGATAGGTTCTACTGAGCTAATGCAAATCTCAGTACGAGATTGATCTTCCATTATTGGCCAGTTGAAGTCAGAGTTCCAGCTTAAATTTCCCATGTTTGTTTGGGATTCTTCCCTGGGGGGTGGGAGAGGGTCTCACTATATAGGTCACAATGGCCTTGAATTTACTATGTAGCCCATGCTGACCCCAAACTTGCAGCTATTCTACTTCAGCCTCCTGAGTGCTGGGATTGCAGTACCCATTTTTACACCCAACCTGTCAGTTCTTAAAGCGCTTAAAAATATATGCTGATGTAAAACGGATTTCTCGCCATTTTCCCACTGCATGCTGTGATTCTATTAAAAATTTTTTCTTCCTCACACTCTCTCTTTTATTAAAGGATGAAAGATGGTAAGAAAAATGATAAAAATCTGGATTTTATATTATTTCATCTTTCACTCACTGAAATGAGTGAAATGAACATATATCCTGTGCTATGGGCCCACAGATATGAACAAGACAGATGAGATCTCTGACCTCATGGAGTTTATTTTCTACTGTAGTATCTCAGAAAATACATAAAAGTAAACTGGCTGGGCGTGATGGCGCATGCCTATAATCCCAGCACTCAGGAGGCTGAGGCAGGAGGATCACCACAAGTTTGAGGCTAGCCTGGGCTACACAGCAAGACTCTGTCTGAAAATAACAAAACAAAACAAAACAAAAAAATAAACTGGATATAACCCTCAATGAAATAAGCAAATATATATAAATTCCTACTATCAAAGAATAGAATAAGTATCTATGAGTCCTTACTATGTAAATGCCTTAGAGAAACAGAGGAAAAGAGTCAGACTATACTGCACTAGGACCAGGAGCTCTTTGGAGTGGACAGTGTGCCCTTTACATTAGGGTGTTGTGATCTATTGTCGTCAGAAACACCGTGCTTGATAACAGTGGTAGAATTGGTGGTCAAACTCCATGGAAGCAGAAGACTAGAACAGAAACTATGTCATGACATTATTTGCTTATTTGGGTGGTTTTTATTTGGCTTGGACTGTTAAGACAGTAATGAAACTCAAAATCTGTACAGGAGACTCAAATCCTGCAAAACTCTTACAGATCGCTGTTGTCAAATGAGGCAAACAGTTAATCCAGCAAACGTTAACAATTGTGTCAGTAACACTTAAAACAGTTGCATTGTGAAGCCATTAGATTTTCCCAAAGGACCAACCACAAAACACAGATACAGCAAAACAAATACTGTAGTTATTCAGGTGTTAGAGTATTGAAACGAAACATTACAACTGGGGCAGAACTCAACGGTAGGGTGCTTACCTAGCATGTGTGAAACCCCGAGCACCGTATACGCACACACACAAATCTGTCGCTTTGCGTTTTAACTACCTAATGGGATAAAATATCATCTTAAAAATAAGTTTGCTTTTCCTAGCTATGAAATTTGAGCCAGCATTGTTAGAAAAACGAATTTACTTAATGTTTCTAGCACTTTTATCTCTTGAAAATCTTCTCTCTTAACGTCAGCATAAAGAACATAAGTTTTCTCCACGGTCCAATATTTCTTCCAATGGTTTACAGAAAGTGACAATTTTAATACTTTACGGGGGTTTATAACTAATTCTTTTTTCTTAAAACCAATGCCAAATACCCCAACTCTACTTTTCTATTTTTTTCAAATGGCTTCTAAATTTGATGTAAATATATCATTATTGGTCAAAAATGTCTAAGAAAACAAGGCTTTCTTATCTATTTTACCTCGTAATAGAGACTAGTTAAGAAAGATAATGTTCTCAGTCTGACACGGTGCACAAGCTAGGTTTGTGTGGGTAGGATGTATTTGTATCGGGATAATTGAGAAGCTCAATGCAAACAATGGAGCCCAGGGACAGACTGACATGCATATAGTTAATTGATTTTCAACACAGTAATAGAAAAGTAATATTGTCTGCGCACGCATGAGATACCATTCATACGCAAAAAAGGCAACTTTGGTCCATACCTCTCATCAGAATACAAAAGAGCAACCCCCCAAATCCTTGTGATAATTATATGCCAAGATCCAAAAGCTAAAACATACAATTTCCAGGAAAACATTTATTATAAAAAATATAAAATTTAAACACTGAAATATAAAAGCTAAAATATAAAACTTCAATGAAACTAAAATATAAATATCATAGATTAAGGAAATATTTCTAAAACACAAAACCAAACCACAAAAATATTAATTAGATAGTTGCCTAGTTGTGAATTAAGGTGCTATAAATATTCATGTTTGAGTTTTGATGTGAAGTTTTCATCTCCTTTGAGTAGACACCAAAAAGCATGGTTTCGATAGGATGAATATATTTGTTTATGAAATTCCCAAATTGCCTTTCAAAGTGGCCGTACCATATTGCATTTCCATTCTTCACGAGAACTCTTCTTACTTTGATATTGTCAAGTGTGTTTCATTGTTTAATGATGCAGATTCAAATTTAAAACACTATGTTAAAGCTTTGACTATTTTGAAATATAGGCCCTGTTCTCCAAGGAAAACATTTATTTCAAACCAACAACAGAGTGTACAACTAAGAAAGTCTTGGTCTAATATTAAAACGTACTTTTTGGAGGAATTTTACTTTGGATACATGTATATTTATGCCTTTAAGCCCAGTTGAATAAATTTGAAAACCTTAACCTTTTGCAGCTGTTTCTGATACAAAATTCCACAAATGTGGCCCCGAAGAAACAGAAATTGGAGGTGATTGTATTGGTAAGTATAATATTTTCTGTTTAAATAATGCATTTATAAATTAGTGATTTTCCTTTAACATAATGTATATATTTAAAAACTAGTGGTTTCAACTAGCTATTTATATTCTGTGGCTTTAAATGTTGGATTATACTGATAATAGACAATGCTACTACCTAACAGATGTAAAAAATAAAGAGTAATGTTATCATGCCTTAGTAAATATTCCTGAGTTAGCCAAAGTACAGAGAATTAAGGAAAAGTGTAACTATTGATAGGATTTTTTTATGACAAAATGTGGCCATTTAGCTCCACATTCTTAAAAATCTGCATGTATTTATACCTACATTTATACTTCCAAAAACCTATTTTAGAGAACTATTCAAGGAAACCTGCAAGCACAATATCTATAAAAGCATTTTTCAATAATGTGGAAAAAAAACCTCAAATAAACAAGAACTGCTGATTCAATACTTCTGATAGTTAAATAATGACCAAGTGTTCAGCAAAAAGCACTGAGAAATTAGATCATGCAATACAATTCCATTCTGTTTTCCAGGAAGACTGCATTTGTGCCAAAAAAAAAAAAAAAATCAAAGACTTTAGCTGTATTTAAAATTTATTCTCTCTTCAATCTATATTTTTTCATAATAGAAATTGAAGCTAACCTCTTTTAGAAACTCATGTGATGTATTTATACATTTTTAAAACTCTGAGCATTTGCAAGATAAATTCTGAAGTTTCAAAAGTTTTCCAAAGATTTTTGTTTTTGTTTTAGTCTCATAAAATCGAAAAAAGTAGCATTATTGTTTTTACACTTGACAGTTTATTTCATTGTCTGTGTAATCATCCCCAGAATGAGTAGCTCTTCTTGGCAGGCGTTGAGTTGTAAGAGTGAATTATAAAAGTGAAAGAGTCTTTTGCTTTTACATGATAGTGACTTTTTCCTTCATAACAAGAAATGATAATGTACAAAACTTGAATTTCGTTTCTTTAGTCTTTAGAAAAGATAATGCCTAAAACAAGGTAAATTACTTTTATTTTCAAGAAGCAGATTTCTTCAGAGGCAGATGACTTGCATCCGTATAAGCTTGACAGGCCAAGTTGCTCTGCTATCAAACAATACATATAGGTAGATCAGACATGAATGTGTTAATTTGTCAACTGCTAGAAAATAACCATTTTTTCTGAACGTATTTCATTTTTCCTTAAAAGAACTACCAGAGTTATAATCTTTGTATCTTTTTCCCATAAACCAGTCTTCATTCTTCAAGATCTTCAATTCACAGATTATGCATTTTCCCCCATCAGGTCAGCAGCTGGCTGCATGGCCACCTCCACCTCCGGGAAGGCCAGAGGTTTCGGTGGAACTGGTGGAGTCCAGGATTTTCTGTAGGTGTGCTTTTGATGCTTCCCCGACCAACGCCTCGGTGGGATTTCTCGTAGCTTGGTCTAGGCTTTCTTCTCAAGAGATCAAAGAAGAGCTGAAACAAGAGATCACAGTGCAGACGTTCTCTCTTTTAGAACTGGATGGCATAAATCTCAGACTTGGAGATAGGGTATGTTAAAAATTGGATTATCTTTTATTTTTGTGAATGTACTGTTTTTCAAACATTTTATATATATATATATATATGTGTGTGTGTGTGTGTATATATGGAGAATTTTGTCCTCAGAATATAAAGCATCAATGTTTCTTCATTTTTTTCTCCAAGGCAATTGTGTTAATTCTAGTGGTAATCAGATGAGTCTCAGTGATATAGTCTGACTGTATATGAACACCTCTTTTTAGAAATGTACTGATTATTATTGATGAATCTTTACATGTCTTTTTCAGGTTTTAAAATGAAATCCTTATATTTGGAAGATAGTGCTTTGCTTTTCTCAGTGATGATATCATTTTTATCTACTTTCAAGTACATATTATATAAAAATGTACTATACCTTAACTTACGTTAAAGTTCAGATAAGTAATGCTTTATAACGATGGAATTTTTGTAAAATTTCAGGAAGCTATTTAAAGTACTTAGTTCCTCTGTCTACTGTGCAGTGTCTACCAATTAAGAATGTGAAGACAATAATTTATGCATGTTTCTCCATAATTTTATTGGTAACTCTTTGTTAACTGTATTCACAGATTTTCTGTAGTGTTTCTGTCTTTTTCTTGGAAAAACCACGTGTACAGAGTTTAGCCAGGGAAAGCAGAGAATTTTTTGCAGGCATCAAGGTATGTATCCATGGGGCGGGACCAGAAACATTCTTCGGGAGCTGTTCCCCACACTGTGATCTGTCCATGGTGTGCCTGGATTTTGCACAAACTGAATCAGAAAGTTGGAACTCAGGAGTCTGTATTTTTGAAGGGCAATCCTAATATTTCTAATGTGCAAGAAAAGCTCTGTTGATGAACTCAGGTTGGGGTATACAGATGTTCTTTGTTCTATGATAAACTTACTTCCCCGTAAACTCATCAAAAGATGAAAATAGTATGAGCCATAGATCACTCAATGGGCCGAACCTCCTTTAACCCTGGAATAGCTTAGCCATTTAGCACACGCGACTCTCTGGGGGCTGTAGTACCCTGCCCTGCCTTGTTCCGCAACAGAGGAGGGTATTTTATGACTATCACGGCCTAAGGAAAGATCAAAATTCAAAGTGTAGTTTCTACTGAATGTGTCCTGCTTTTGCATCCTAAACAAAATTTTAAAAATTCAGAATTCAAATCGTCATAAACAGAGCACTTGTGTTTCTTCATCTTGTTTTTTAAAAATGGCAAAAAGATGAGGAAAATGCAAAGGCTCTGTTCTCATCACTCATTCTGTCATGTAAGTAAAAGTTGGCGTATCAGTGTTTAGTTATTGTGCATTTTGGGGGAGCAGTCCCAGGCCAGGAAGTAGAGATCTGACTGAAGAAAATTGCCTCAGAGCTCGGGGCTTTATGAGTTGCATTGTAGCAGCAGGGTCTAAGAGCGAGTGAGCTATTTTAACAGGTGAGCAGAGGTGACAGGGAACCAAAAGTGAGGGAACGTGTGTAACAGTGGATATCAAGAGATAAAAGCTAGCAAGCACAGCGGACCTGGGAGGTCTTATTCACAGAACGGGAGTTTGACTTGGACTTACTCACAGTTCAAAAATAGAAGGGGAAGTTGATAGGTCATGGGGCTGGGACTCAGGACCAAGATAAACCCTCTTGCTAGCAAAGCCCGTGAACACACAGCAGTGATCAGGAAACGAAGAACAGACTGCATTGTCGGAGTAGCACACCCACGGTTAAGGCGAAGCAGAGCTCAGACTTGGGAACGAAGGGACCATTTGATCTACACCGCTAACTCCCAGCAGACGACATGAAGGGCCAGTGATCAGCCCCTAGAAACTGTTTCTAATTAAGCTAACAGAGAAAATAGCCAGTACTAAGAAACATCTGTTTCAAGAGCTGGTCAAGACTTGCTAGCATAGAGCATTAAAAAAAAAAAAATCTCTGCTTCCAAAACAACTTGGCTGGTGAACTGGAGGAGGGACAGTCCTAAGCAATACTTAGTTGGTCTAACTGTGCAAAGCAAAGAAATAAGCTGAAGGTTGAGATTTTACAAGTGCCAACAGTACTTGGACTTCTGTACTAAAACCAAATTTCTAAGGAAGGTGGTGAGTGTAAGCCCCTCAAAATAACCAGACTCGTCCATTGGTTCTTCAGCAAGTAGTAGCTAATAAGCAGAAGAATATGGAAATCTGTATTTTCTCTACTTCTAATGACTACCACAAAGCTAGAACCACGAAGGCAGGCTGGACCTTACCCAGAATGTTCTGGGACCCAAATTGAGTCTAAATCCAGAGCTTTGTCGTGACTCCATGTACTTCTCTGTATGTTGCTGGTATAGTTATTTGGTTTTGTTTTAATAGGTTTTGTTTAGTTAAAAAGTTAAGTTGCTACCAGCTCCTTTAGCAAAAGATGAGCTTCTGAGAAAAAGTGCTTCCACAATTATACTGGTAAAGGTGAATACTTTAGAAATAAATTCCAGTTTAACATAACTGCTCTCGTATTTTCCTATATCAGTTACGACCTGAATTGAACACCATCTCAGAAGATGGGAAGGAATACCTGCTGAGGATCGAGAGCACAGTTCCCATCGTCTGTTCTGAGCTCAGTGAATTTGAACAAAAATGCAAAGTCTCATTAGAACTGAAAACTGTTAATCAAGGTAGTGCACTAAATTCATTTAATTTTGTTACTAGGTTTTGAATGGTAACTCATGCTTTTCTTTTCCCTAGGAAAAGTTCCCGGAGTGTACTCATATAATAAATTATGCTGTGTGTTTACCTCCAGTTATAGCTCGATCATGTTTTTTGTTTGTTTTGAGACAGGGTCTCTCTCGCCTTGAACTCATGGCCATCCTCCTGCCTCAGCCTCCCAAGTGCTGGGATTACAGGCGTGAGCTACCTGGCCTGGCTAGATCATACCAACAATACTAGTCAAATTGATGCCTGCCAAGAAGCAATTCATAATTATTCTTCCTGAGCTCAAAGCACACATTTTTTTTTTTTTTTTTACAAAGGGAACGACTTCCTTTCTATGGTCATGTTTCTGTTTCCCTGCTGTTTTTCCTCTTGCACCTGTTTTTCATTTCCCTTCTCTTTATCCTCCTACTTAGTCTTCTCTTTGCTTTGTTTTCAGAAAGGGACAAACTGCTCTTTTAAGATTTTTCCAAATCCCAATGAAGGTTTGATAAATTATTCCAAAATTTCCAGTTTATGAACTATGGATCTTATAAGGCTTTCTTCGTACTTCTTTCCCTTCTGGAAGCTTATGTTTGAGATCTTTTGTCTTACAATTTTTTCTGTTTAAATTACTGCCTTTATAGAGTTATGGTGCATGGACACATGTACAGCGCTGTTACAGCCGTACAGAGAGCATCAGAACCCTCCCACTGGACAAGATAGAGTATAAAAGGACAAGACACATATAGCAGTGGTTGGGTTCCTGAGTTCTTTCCCGCTCAAGCCTGGGTTCAAAGCAAGTACAGATAGGTAGATTAACGTAGAACCTATGAGTGAGTAACATTCTGTTCATGTATCTCTGACTGGTCACTCTAGAACATAGCATTTACTTAGTAAATACACCAAAAGCCAGTTAACTAGGTCTTAAAGCTCATGCTATACCTAATTAAATCTGAGAAACAAAAGAATAAAAAGGCCACATACAGTTTGTGGGAACTGCATACCCAAGATAAAAGATGAATAGGGAAATAGAATGGAGAATTTAGAGATGTCATGGATGAAAAGCTTTTAATTTTTCTCCTTCCTTGATTCTCAGAAGGACTTTGTAGTCACCAGTAGTATATGGAAACATGCATCCTTTATGCCCAGTTTTTTGGGGTAATCCATTCTTTTCGTTTAGTTACACAAATTTCTAGAGTTCCTTCATTTCATGTTACCTTTTCTTTCCCAAATTCATTTTCTTAATCCTTGCAGCATAACTAAGGAGCACCTCAGGGTTTTAAATATGTTGGGGTGTTTGCAAAGTGAAAAGGGAAGCAGCTTACTACTGGTTTGAGGGGCACCTGATTTGTTTTATATTTTCAATTTTTAAGATGATGAACCTTGTATAAATAATTAAATGTACGCTGCCACTGAACCATTGGATGGAGGAGGAACACATGCTCTAAAAAATATTCAAGAAGTACTTGAGCCCTAAGCCCAAGCCCAACTGTTGTGAGAAAAAGATGAAATTATATTCCTCAATATTTTGAATTTTGATTTTTACAGAATCACTTTTATTTATTGATTTTTGTCTTGTTAAAATTCTGTAACTATGTTAATAAATGATGCTTGCATATCTTTATAGAGTACAGTGTGATACTTCAATACATGTATGCAATATGTATTGATCAGATCAGATGTTTAGCATTTTCCATGTCTATTTTTTTTGTGTTATTTATTGCTTTTGAATTTTATCTAGTTGTACATGGATTTTTAACTTTATCAAAAATAGTAATATATATATGCATATGTATATGCATATACATTATAGCTTTGTTTTAATTTGGACAAAAATTGAGACAGTATATTTTAAGAAAGAATTTAAGACTAATCTTTTCATTCATTGTTTGATGTTAATAAAAGTGCCACAGGTTTTGCGTAGGATATATACCGTTAGGAGAATTTTCAACGTACTTTTTTCATTCAAACAGATAAAGAACACCTCGGCTTAAGTCTGGCACTGTCTTCCTGCCGCGTGGACCTTCACCAGACATCACCCTGTGACGATGGAACCTGCAGTTACGCGCTTGTGAACTACACCGCGGTTCCAGGCTTTGCCCCAGATGGTGACAGAGTTACAATCATCATGGTGCAGCCGATAGTTAGTGAGGATTTCCTGTGGAACAACTACGTTCCAGACAGCATCCAGGTTGACAAAGCAGAAAATGATTTTTATAATCTAAGCTTTAAAGATACTTATATGTTGTCACTATACCATCAATTTTCATCTAAAATTACTTGATACATTATCTAAGTTTTTAAATGATTCCACTTTCAAGGCAATGATAAAAACAGGAATTCGTTGCAACTGCCAAGCTATTTATTGTCCCTAAATAATGACTAATGGTTCTATTTACCGAAGTATTTTTGTTTTTAAGATCACAGTTAAGGACATCCCAACCGCTTACTGTTATTCATTTACTGACCCACATATAATAACCTTTGATGGCAGGTAAGTTTTTCTGTTAGTAGTTTCTGTTTGTTTCTATTGTTGTTTTGTTCTAACCAGCATATCTTATCATTTTTTAGTTCTAGTCACTGATAAGCTAGAAAGAACAGCATGTATTGCTGTCACTGGCTTTCTCAAGGTACTAGTCTGTTTACACACATATTTTTGCTGTGGATTTAGTCCTTAGCAAAAATGTGTAATAGGTGTGAGCCTGAATTTGTAGAAGTAAAGATTATTTAAAAATACAGACAGGGCTGGGGATTTAGCTCAGTGGCACAGCGCCTGCCTGGCAAGCGCAAGGTCATGAGTTTGATTCCTGGTATCGGAGAAAAACCAAAAAATGAATAAATAAATAAATAAATAAACATTAAAAAATACAGACAACTGTTTTTGCTTGGCCATTCTTTACTTTCAAAAATGATTAAAGTATTTGCAGTAAAGATATTTACTGTTACATTTCTATATAATAATAGAACAATCTTCAAAGTCTAACCAAAATGATTAAACTAACATGGTAGACTATTTTAAAAACTAATCACTCCTAATTCATGATGAATACTCTGGGGAAAAACTGGTATAACCATCATGAATGTCTAGGTATGTGCCTCTGGAATTAAAGAAGAGTTGGCAAAAATGACCAAAAGTTATCTAAACAATGCTGCTATTAATATCTACATTGTAAGAGTATACTCAGTGGTGTTGCTCTGGGGGAGTTCCTAATACTTAGCTGTCATAAATGAAAATGATAGCTCATTTTGAGTGAAAATTGAAGTCATGATGCAAGATGTTTTTTATTGCAATGGGATGATTGTCAGTAAAATTATTCAATGTAAATGAATACAATAGAAACCCCCCAGTAAAAATGACACTGCACAGACCTGGGGAAGTATTGACGAAGTGTAAATGGTTATAACCGAAGGCTTAGAAGCTTCGCTGGAGACTGGGCATGGTGTGTATGCCTGAAATCCCAGCGCCTGAGATACAGAGGCAGAAGGGTTGCCAGGAGTTCAAGGCCAACCTGAACTACACACTCAGAGCCCATCTCAAACAGGCACACCAACACATAAACACAAAGTGAACAAAACAAAAAGTTTTGGTGGCAATCCTTCAGGAAGCACAGCAGTGATGCATTTAATGCAACCTAACCCAAGGCGATGTCCTGCGCCATGTTTTAAATGCTGGGTCCATAGCAGGGAGCAAAATAGAGGAGCTCTCCCTGCCCCTGTGGAACTGACCTTTGAATAAGTGAAGGGCAGCATAAACAGCAGCAATAAATAAAATATCTACAGTGCCTGAGGTAGACGCATGCCAGGAAGAAAAGTTAACCAGAAGTGGGAAAAGGCTGGAAGTAGCGTTTGCAGTTTACATTAAAATAGAATGGAGCCAGGAATGGTGGTGCACACCTGTAAAGCCAGCACTTCGGAGGCTGAGGCAGGAGGATGGCTGCAAATCTGACGCCAACCTGGGCTACACAGTGAGCTCAAGGCTAGCAAGACTACAAAGCAGGACCCTGTCTCAAACAAACAAATGGATGCAGGTATGGTTGCACACATTATAATCTTACTGTTCTGGCTGTTTGAGGTGGAAGTGCTAGCCCCGCCTGGCTAACTTAACAACTTAACAAGGCCACATCTCTAGATAAATAACTAAATAACTGAGGGACATAGCTGAGTGCAAAGCCCCGGGCTTATTCCCCAGTACCAGCCCCAAAGTAAAATAATAACAAACAAATAAGATGGACACAGAAAGCCAGCAAGTGAGGGTGGCAGCCGGATGAGTACTTGAAGACGCAGCGGACAGCCAGGTGCACACACCTTCAGGGGGCCCCTGCCCAGGTGTGCGGCCGGACGGGAGTGGTGGGAGGGAAGCCAGTGGGAGAGACCCAGACGTTCATCACCACCTTGTCTCCTTCAGCACCTCCATAAACGCTCCCGACTCCAGCCTGTCGGGAGTGTGGATTCCTCAAACACCAAAATGTATCGAACGCCTCTAAATGTCTTTCATACAAATGTCTGGCTTATGCGGTTGTGATATTTTGTACTCACTCTTGACGCAGTTCCCTTCTGTTAATGATAGGATATATGATAATTTCAAGACTGGGACATTTGTGCTGTATAAGAGTTCATCACGTGACTTTGAGATCCATGTGCGTCAATGGAACTGCGGGAGCCTCTACTACCCCGCGTCGTGTAACTGCGGGTTTGTTGCCAGAGAAGAAGGGGTTCTGGTGACCTTCGACATGTGCAATGGTCAGCGGCAGGAGTCACAGCCATATTTATTCGTGAAGAGCCAGGATGTACCGAGCAATATCAAGATAAGTGAATCTTACTTGGGAAGAAAAGTCACGGTATGTATGCCTCTTTCATTTTCAAAATAGCTTTTCTCTTTGTCATTTTGGATGAACTTTTAATCATCTCCGTTAAATTAGGAGCTACCATTTTTCAATATTAGTCTTTTCAAGAAAATAGTATTTAGTCAAGCATGGTGGCGCATGCCTGTAATCCCAGCATACGGGAAGCTGAGGCAGGACGATCGTTGCAAGTTCGAGACCAGGTTGGGCTACAAAGGCCAGCCTCAACTGCATAGAGAGACCCTGTGTCAAAATGACAAAATAAATAAATAAATAAATAAATAAAATAAATTTTAAAAAAATAGCTTTTAGATGGCCTATGAAACTACAGTGTTTTTTAGCTACCACACACAAGTAGACACCACATAGGTAAAACTGTCAAATCTAACTTCCATTACTTAACATTTCATATGACAACTTTGTGGATTACCCATATAAATGCTTTTGATGGTGTCTAAGAAAACTTCCATTGGATTTTTGTTAATTGTCTTCATTTTGAATTGTGTGCATTGCCGTTGCTACAGCAGCTTGTTACAGTGTTGAAAAATTGCCAGTTATATTTGCTGTTTATCATCTATTTGTAGATTAGGATTAAAGTGGATTTAATCCATTTTTAAAGCTGTGTGAATTTTTCTAAGGAGGAACAGCCATTTACATATCAATTTTCATGACTTTTATCATTAGCAGTTGACAGCACATGTCCATACAGCAATATAAAACTATACTAATGACTATTTGGTAAATTCCGACAGGCTTCTACCATTAGCATAATTTTGTGTTGTACAGTTAAGTTACAGTTACATCTCGAATGTTGGGTAATATTCAGTGGTTAACAATAAAGTGACAAAAGCTCATGGAGAAAAAAGAAAAAGTACAATAGACAAATATGACAGAAAATTAAAATTAAATATTCAGGAATATGTAACCAGCTTTCTAGTGAACTATGCATCGCCGTGTCAGCAACTGGTTGGTAGAGAAATAGATAAGCAGGAAGAGAAAAGAGGGTCAAGAAATCCACCCAAGATAATATAATTGTTAGTGTTTTTTTTAAAATACTATTTCATATGTGTGAGCTGTTTGTACCTTAAGGTGATATTCATCTTCCTCTCGTCTTTCTTTTCTTTTCTTTCCTTTTCTTTTCTTTTATCTTTTCTTTCCTTTCTTTTTTTTTTTTTTAAGTCTTTTTGAGACAAGATCTGGCTATGCAATTCAGGCTGGCCTTGAGCTCACTTTGTAGTTCAGGTTGACCTTGAACTTGCAATGATCCTCCTGCCTCAGCCCACTGAGTGCTGGGATTACAGGCGTGAACCACCATGGCTGGCTTCCTGTCATCTTTTGAAAGGCTAAATTTCAAGCAAATGCAATTTAATTTCAAGAAGTATCAAACAAATAACATATAACATTTTTATAATGTCTGGTGAGGTGAACCATAATTTTTGAATGTAGCATTACAGATCTGAATCCCATCATCAAGAACAAAATGCAAATCAAGAACTGGGAAAATATTTCCTACATATAAAGTATATATTCAGTTTGTAAAATTCTCACCCTCATCTAATATTTAATCCGCACTCTAGTTATAAAGAGCAAATAATATAAAAGGCAGTTCCCAAAGGAATGACACTCATGAATATGTCCAAAATTCGTATAATCAACTAAAATGAGTATGTTAACCTCATTAGTAATCAACTAGATAAATACAGATAGAACATCTTCCATGTAATTTTGGCAAGAGGAGATAGTAGGAAAGTTAGTCTTTCTGGAAAGCATATGTATTATATATAATCTTAATCTACCTGTGTATGTCATTTTAACAAAAAAATTTAGTTCTGGGAATTAACTGCCATAACATAACTCAGGGTGTACAAAACCCCAGTGATAATTTATTGTATCCTTACGTGTGCGAGGGAAAAGTTACAGGTAATCTGTGATCAATTAAATTGAGCTGAACTTCTAAATATAATTGATGTAGAACACATTGTAGTCATGCAAATGGTGGAGTAGGGCTGTACTTGTAGACAAGCAGGGATACTTCTATAATATCCAGAAGGGGTTTGAAGAATCTGCGAGAAAACTGGCTGTCTTAAGGGGGATTGTAAGATTTTTTTATTTTCTGTAATCCTTAATTTGCTGCAGTGAACACAAAACTATTCTTGTAAAAACAAGCACTATTGTTAAATTTAAAAAATGTTAAAGAGAAATATGAATTAGAGAAGAAAACGCAGGAAGTATACCTTTATTGGCTTTTGAAAGACAGTTTCTCCACATATACCTCCAGGTGGCTGGTCTGGGACGGATGACTTTCCTCCAGTAGAGAGAAGTTGCTTGTGGTTGGATTGTAGAAGCTATTAGAATCGTTCAAGAAACTCCTTTTGCCCTGATTTCCAGGCAGCCTCTGGTTATAATTTGGCTTCTGATTTGATGAGCTTAAAACAGTAAGACGATATTTATATGTACTCCTCTGGAATTATATTCACTCTGTGTGAATCTATTACTTGGTAGTCAAGTGCCATATTAAGTGACTATCATCAGCAACCTGACTCGGGAAACCTTATTCCTAAGGTTTGTAACTTTTGTTATGTAAAATACCACATTTTAGTGCAAATTATTGAAAAGAGTTACAAATCATATATCTCAATAAGTTCAATATGGAGCTCAAATTTCAAATCAGCAGCACAAAAATCTATTACTTGGAAATATAGGATTAACAAAAGTTATCATCTATAAAATCAGTATTTCTCTCTGTATGGAAGGAATAACTCAGTGTTTTTTTGTTTTGTTTTTGGTACCAGGAATAGAACTCGGGACCTTGCGCTTGCCAGGCAGGCGCTGTACTGCTGAGCTATATCTGTGGCCCCAACTCAGTGTGTTTTATTTCTTAAGTAAAACTTCTTTTCTTGACCCATATGGAATATGGATTCAACATTGTTTTCCTCTGTTGATTACTTCTGTGCTTCAGGTTTGGTTTTCCTCTGGAGCATTTATCCGCTCCGACCTTGGTGAATGGGGCATGAGCTTAACAATCAGAGCCCCTAGTTTGGATTACCGGAACACTCTGGGCCTCTGTGGTACCTTCAATGAAAACCCAGCAAACGATTTCCATGATAGAAATGGGATCAAAATTGATCAAGATTTTAATGATTTGGTCGCTTTTATTAATGAATGGAGGTAAGAAATAAACTTTTATTTAAGTGGGTGGTGATTCCATGTTTTTTAAAAATGCATTACTGGGGATTGAACGTTCTCATTCAAATAATGAGTCTTTCCTTTTTCCACTGAGAAGAATTTTACCAGGACAAAGCATGTTTGACACGTTGCCGGTTTCTCTGACATTGCCTGCAAAACCACCCTACTGTAGCTGCTCGCTGGACACTGCCTCAGATTACCGATTTTCTAATCATCCGGATGGTGTTTCTCAATCAGAAATTGCTTCAGGTTGCAAAGACCTCAGACATCTCAGATTTTCTTCTTTGATACCAGAACTAGATGTCACTGCTGAATATATTAATTCTGAAGTTCTTGTCGGAGGGATAGGAAAACAGACATCTGGAGAGGAGAATAATTTGAATTTCTTACTGCAAGAAAAGCTGCAAGTGAACCTAACAGAGCTAGACTTAAACTTGCAGTATCCCGGGAAGGCAGAGCCAGCGGCGTCGAAGTATTTGGACAGTGAGAAGCAAACACAGGATGAAGCCGGCCATCAGCAAGAGACACGGTGGCAAAGACAGAAGAGGTGGAAACGGCAGAACTTTAACGAATTTCCTCCTTCGTTTGCTCTTCGAGGTCCCGGCCAAACCAGCCTGGAAGGGTTTACTTATTTTTTCCCTGAAGACCATGTTGCAGATGTTCACCAAGACTTTGTCCCCTCCTGGCCCACACCCTCTGGTCTTACCGAGTACAGCACCTTGGCTGTGTGTGAGCAGACACTCGCCAACTCTAGCGTTGGAAAGCTCTGCCTCGGGTTTCTTGGCAAGAGAGTGGAGGATGCCATCCGTATGTGCGTGAAGGATGTTCTGTTGAAAGATGATGTGCGCTGGGCAGGAGCAGGTTTGGCCCTTTTAGAAAATGAATGTGAAAGGAGGGTCTTGGAAGAGGGGAAACATAACACAGGAACACATGGCAAGGCCGTGGAGGACATCCTCCTGGTTCTGAGATGCCCCAGCTTGTGCAGCGGCCGGGGCGAGTGCATGGAGTGGGGCTGCGCGTGCTTCCCGGGCTTCAGCTCCTATGACTGCAGCGATCCCCATGGTAAGTGAAGCCCGTCTGCCTTTGACGTGGTGCAGGACATTTGATCATGCAAATGTCTGTACTTTTTCGCCTGCAGTATCTTAGAATTTATTAAGATTATCTAGGGAAACCCAAGTTACATTCATTAGTGTGTTAATCATTTCCAAAATGTGTTCCATCCGTAAAAGCTGAAGTCTTAGAGGTGGCCCGGGAGGGACACCGTAACCTGCCACACAACACCCTTCTGAGCTCGTCCCCTCTAGTGTCACCGTGTCTGTCCTCCCGTCTGTCCTTCCGCCTCGGGCACTTTGTCTCTGTACTGTCCCTTGAAAGCGCCAGGTTCTGGGCTGGGGATGTAGCTCAGTGGCATAAGTGCCTGTCTGGAAAGTGCCAGGTTCTCTCATCCTCAAAGCCTTTCTTTTCATTAGGTCCTTCTAATTCTAGACAACAATCTTTTTCCCCCTAAAAGTCAAACTTGGTATATTTTAAGCACTGTGTTGTTACTATGTTGCTCTTCACACGAAATCATTTTCTCTAACCCCCGTATGTAGTACAAACCATTTTCTCTCAATCTGTTACAGCAAGGATTTCTGTTAAATGTTGATCTGTTTCGTTTAACCAGTAAGCACGTAAGTCTTGATTTCCCTTCTGTAACCGCCGGGCTGTGCTTTTCCATCTACGACCTCTTCTACCTTAGCAAGCGCCAACTTCCTCTCCCTAACCGTTCAAGTTAGAGACCTGAAGTCATTCTGGGCTGTTTCCTCTTGTGCTTCCGCTTGGATTCACTACTACGAACTCCAGCTGTAGCCTCAAGCACTTCATCTGTGCCCCTCTCCAAGCCACGCCCCCTTTCCCTGGGGTGACCCCCGATTTCCCCAAGGCCTATGTTCATGCAGCAGCGGTCAGAATGAGCTCCTGGATATGGAAGTCAGGTCATGTTGCTTGTTCCTCTTCTGAAATCCTCTGGAGCTGTGCTCCTTTTTTTTTTTTTTTTTTTTTTTTTTTTTCAGAGTAAAACTCATAAACCTTACATGGCTTGGAAGGTCCTAGATAATCCGAGGCTCCCCTTACTGTCCTCCCATTAGCCCCTGCTCCAAGCCACCCCGGCTGCTCCTCGGCCTGTTCCTTCCTTAGGACCTTCACTTTCACTGGGGCCTCTCCCTGGAGCATACCGCAGGTCTTCACGGTGGATGACCTTCCCTCCGCTGCTGAGTCACACATTCTAAGCAAACCCCTCCATGGCCATCCAAAATAACAGTGCTGTAGCTTTTACCTCCCTTAGCGTACTTAATGTAATTTTCTCCACATTCCTGGAAACAGTGATACATTTCTTATTTTTCATTTGTTTTTTTCCTGTGCTAGATTGTAAAAGCCATGAAGGCAGAGAGTGTTTTGTTCATTCCTGTATCCCCTACAGTAACATAACATGCAAAGAAATCACTGAATGAATTCTTACTGGATATATGAAGGAATATACTTACACATGAGTTTTTTTCATAATTTTAGGGTTGTACCTACACATGACTTATGATTTTGTTTGAACCCTGTGCTAGTAAAGTTATACTCAGTCAGATTTCAGTGGAACTCAGGCAAAGATATCATGCTTTTATGAACTGCATTTATCTATGTTGACAACCAGGATTTACAGAGACAGGTAATGTATGCTCTTACAAAGTCTGGGTACAGGAAAACATATGAAGGTCAGTTAACTCTGACTGCCATAAGAATTTTTTCTGGAACTGTCAAAGTTTAAAAAGCAGGAAAATTAATTGTTGCTTGCTTTTCTATTGAACTGTATCAAGAACAAAGATGAGAGAAGCTAGATTTGTGAACCCTATTAAATGCCATATTTTTAAAAAAAAGAAAAAATGAAGTCCTATTTATATGGGATTCAGTATTTCCCAAGCAATTTCAATTGTACCTATGAGTTGCTTTTTATCATTATAATGTATTAAGTACATTTTATATCATATTAAATGTGGTTGTCTAGATATTTTCAAGAGTTTGCACTAAGTGGCACTATATTTTCATTTTTTTATTTTAAAGATTAAAAAAACTAACAAAACAACAATGAAGACAAAATCAAACAACACAAAAACATCAAAAATGATACATGACCTCAAAACAAAATGACAGGAATTAGCAGTAGTTGCTACATTACATACTGTTATCTTCAGCGAAGTTGCTCAGTCCACCAGACATAAGAATGTAAGATTGATCAAACAATCAAAGACAGTAACAAGTAATAAAAAAGAACTGGAAATGATGCAGAGCTTCACCATACAAGATGGTAGGAGTTCAACAGTAGTTCTTATACTGCATATTGTTTTCAGATGAGTCGTTCTGGTTAACAGATTCAAGTGTGCAAAATTAGTCAAGAAAAATAATTTAAGCACTGACTGTTCCTTTCAATAAACCACAGACATCAGCAATGCACCTCTCCCAGCTATCCTTGTATATACATATAAATTTTGCTTTTCATTTTAAAGACCAAATTTTGCTTTTCATTTTAAAAACCAAAATAACAAAAATACGTTAGCACAACAGCATAGAGAACAAGAAAAGTGATACAGAATTTCAAAACAAGGTGATAGGATATTAACAATGGTTGTTATATTACATAATGTTATCTTCAAAATGGCTGCACAGATAACCCGATATAGGCATGTAAGACTGGTCAAACAATTACATATTAACAGTTCCTTTCAATAAACCAACAAATATTAGTAGTACAATTATCCTAGCTATCCTGTGTATACATATACATATTTAGCATTACATTTTTAAAACTTCATTGAGAAGAAATGTCATGCCAACTTTTGTTCACTCTTTTATATTTCAAACAATAAAGACATTTTTCCTTACAAAAGAATATTTTTCTCCTATAATGGAGTAGTACATATGAAATTATGGTAGCATGTAGGATAGTAATTAGTGACACCCAAAAATATCAATAATGCTAGAACAGCAGCATATTTAAATTTTGGAAACTTTTCTACATGTTAAATTAAGAATTTTAAATTGTTAAGTATTGCACTGATTAACATTATCTTTTTATTAAAGTATGTTTATCTTTACCCATCTATGTGATACAAACTAAGTGGCAAAGCCAAAGCCTATTTCATTATAGCAATTATTTCTTAACACTTGTCCTTAGTTGATATCAAACATTATTAAAAAATTCATGATATTTGTATACTTAAGCACTGGTAGTATCTGTAATGACATTGTTATTGGTACGATGTTAAGATAATACTTCTTTTATACCAAATTCTGCTTAATATTTGATGAAATAATTCTTAGGATATTCAGTCTTTGAAGTACTATTTCACATATACTTTTAATTTGGAAATTGAAATTAGGTGACATTAATTTGGAAATTTTAATTCGGTACCTTTTTCCTGAAATTAAAAAATGTTCTACTTGTCACAATTTTTTCCCAAAGACAAACCTGAAATTACAGAGCTTGAGAATGCTGGATTCTGCGATGTTCAAAAATACAATTGTGTGGTGGTGAAAGTTTTTGGTGAAGGATTCAAAGAATCACCTTCCATTATGTGTGAAGTTACAAAACTGGAGGTATGTTTATCACAGACTTTATGACAGATTGCTTAAAACAGCTGAATTAATGTGTTACTTGGATTAATTTTATCTTGGATTAGTTTACTCTATCAATTAGCAACATAATTCCAAAGGATATGATATCCACAGAGCATGAACAGGAAAATATAGTTCTGTTACTTAAATTCAAAAGCTTCCCTGTTTATAAACTTTATTATTTTACTTAATATTTATTGAAATACTGGCTTACTATCTTAAGTCAAAAAAAAAGTAAGACAATATAAAGCTTGATATAATCGTGAGAATCCATATTTCTTGAAATGCAAAAACACAAAGAATGAAGATTGTTTTTAGCTAAGACATACTGGGTGAATGGTAGGATACAGAAATGTGAATATTTCCTTTTTTAAAAACAAAATAGGCAGATTAGTGCTCATCTTTGTATTTCCTTCACTATGGATTTCACAAGGGAAACCCCACCCCCGATCTTTCACTCTCTTGAGACCACAAAAAGAGAACTAATCATTTAGTTTGAACATTAGGGTATCAAATTATACATCTTTTTTGATCATTACTTGTATAATGACCTTCCTTTCCTTTCCTCAACTGCAATTTTTATTTCCAGGGAACTCCTTTGACTATAAAAGGGATTTTTTGTGGGTAAGCCAAAACTTAAAATATAAAATCACATTTCAGCATTCATCCTATTGTGTTTTTTTGTTTGTTTGTTTTTGTTTTTCTCCGGTACCAGGAATCGAACTCACAACCTTACGCTTGCCAGGCAGGTGCTGTGCCGCTGAGCTAAATCCCCAGCCCCCTCCTACTGTGTAAGCTGATGAAAGCACATGTGATTCTGACATTGAAAATTTACAGTAGGAAATAGTTTTTGTATGCTTTTATCATGTATTTATGTACAGCAAGTATGGCATTATATATATTTTATGGGTAGACCCTTTCTAAATAAGCCACAGATTAATTTAATCACAGTGAAATAATGTGACACTCCATAGGAAGACAGATGTATAATTTCAGTATCACTCAAGAGAGTAGCTATTTTTCAGTCTTGACAGAATAAATCATATGATCTCATAATACAATTAAATGGTTTACCAGGAGCAAATTTTATAGATTTCTATTTTCTAAGAAAGTGCATTTTGTACTGCCATTTTATTTACTTTTACACTTTTGTCTTTCAAACATCTGATAAAGAGGAAAATCTGGAATTTTCTAACCTGCTATACGAACTATAGGATGAATAAATGTGTTCAGCTTCCAAAACCAAGATTAGAACGCATATTGAGCTGGGCGTGGTGGTGCACGTCTGTAATCCCAGCACTTGGGAGGCTGAGGCAGGAGGATCCTTGTGAGTTTGAGACCAACCTGAGTTACAGAGTGAGCTCAAGGCCAGCCTAAACTGCATAGTGAGACCCTGTCTCAAAAAGACACACACACACACACACACACACACACACACACACACAGCATGCATATGGAGTACAGTGTTACTTTGGTTTATGAATTTAATTTGTTTTATGATTTGGAGGAACATGACTACCTTTGTGTTTGTGTAGGAGAAGCTGGCTGTGTTTGTATCTGTCACCTGATGTGGAATTTGTGAACAGAAGCAAAATTTTGGAGAAAAGAAAGAAAGAAGGAAGGGAAAATATGAAAATAGGAATATATATATATTCACACAAGATAGCTAAGATAATTGTATTACTAGTTTCTGTTGGTTTATTGAAAGGAACAGTTAATACTTAATTTTTTAAAAAAATTTTTGACCAATTTTGTGTACTTTTGTCTGGTAATAGGAACAACTACTTTGAAGATAAGAATATGCAATATAACAGCCATTGTTGATTTCCTATCGTCTTGTTTTGCAATTCTGTATTTTTTAATGTTTTTTTAAAAATTTGTATGCTCTTTAAAACAAAAAAAAGCAATCACGAATCGAGGTATTATTGTATTTATTTTATATTTTCCTGAAGTTAAGACTTCTCCAGAACTGGGTTTGGCTTTTTCACCCTTTGATTCAATTTGACGCAAGCCTGTATAATTTGGCCCTATTCTAAGATCCCGGCTCCCCTAGCTTTGAACCTGCAGAATGCCTTGCCCTTAGATACTTCATTTGTAGTATGGAATGTACCTTCCTTGCCCCTAAAATGATATTTTGTTCTGTCTGCCTTGTTATGCATTCATTTAACATGAGTGGACTTCTGTTCACTTTTTGTTGGAGTTTAAATTTCCCTTGAATATTAGATTTCTCTTTAAAATCTAGCTTTTTAAAAAAACTCGATTATGCAAAGAGCCCTTCATAACTTTCCACTGTACAAAGTAATGCTGTAAAATATGTATTTTGAGGAGATTTGAGAGTTGCAGAACCCTTGTATAAAGAATACAAAGAGTTTCCACTAAGTTTTCAGTTAGCTTCTTCTAATATGGACATTTTATACATCCAAAAAGCAATTACTGAGACCGCAATGTTCATATTAACACCATGCTAGGAAGTAATACACAGACCTAGTTCAAATTCTACCAGTCAACCAAATAACGGTCCTTTTTCTGATTCTGGAGCCAATCCAAGCTTTTGTATTGCATTGTATTGCCATGTCTGTTCAGTCTTTGTCAAATTATGACAGAGCTCAGTCTTTATCTTTCATGGATTTATCACTTTTGAACAGCACCAGCCAGGAATTTTGTTCCTTCTTCTGATTAGATTGAACTTAAACCGTTCTCAGCTACTGCATTGTATCTTGTTGTTCACATAAGCTTTAACCATTTAAGGTAGGGGGCTGGGGATTTAGCTCAGCGGCAAAGCGCCTGCCTGGCAAGCGCAAGGTCGTGAGTTTGGTTCCCGGTACCGGAGAAAAAAACCAAAAAAAAAAAAAAAAAAAAACCATTTAAGGTGATGTTTTCCACATATCTCCACTGTAAATTTCCCATTTTTCCTTTTGTAGTTAGGCGAAGACCCTTTTAGACAGAACAAATCTATGACTTCCTTTTATACTTTGTTTCTCTAATTTTAGGGTCAAACTGTAATTACAGTTGCTACAATTATTATTGTGAAATTTACCAGCGGTAATTTTTCTCTCTCATTATTCTCTGTATGTTACTCTTTTTGGAGACAGGATCTATGTTGTACCTATGTCATTTGGAAATCGACTGAAAGAAATAAGTATTTCTTGCCCCTGTGTATGCATTTATCCATTTATGTCAGTGTGGACTAGTAGATACTTTATGAAATGTAATTCAAAGCCAGTATTATTTATTTTGTTGCTTAAATTACCCCCACATTGAACTTGCGAGCTTCTTGAAGTTGGTTCTCATGTCTTTTTAGTTGTCCTCATAATTTCTTGTACAACTTAATTTTCTGCCATTGCCTAGTATTCCACACACACCCTCTACGTTCTGTATCCCAACCCTACAGTCCATCCGGTGTGTGTTAATTACACAGTCCAGTGTTTCCTCTTCCTCCCAAAGTCATTGCAGTGACTCAGTGTGCATGGACTCTTTCATTTGTGTCCCCAGAAAATGTACTATTTGTTAGAAGTCGTTTATGTCAAATTAAGATATAGGGGCTGGGGATTTAGCTCAGCAGCACAGTGCCTGCCTGGCAAGTGCAAGGTCATGAGTTCGATTCCCAGTACTGGGAAAAAAAAAGAAAAGATATATACTTCATTGATTGTTGTGAAGAAAATTCAGTCGGTATGACTTTTATTTCCTTATTCTGTTAGGTATGTGTATTAAAATTTCCGTTTTGCTCATATATTACTCACTAGCAAAAATATTTTCATAATTACAGAGAGCAATTGCTTTCTCATTTTGCTTACAGTATAATGGCAGTAAATGGGTGCTTGGAGAACCTGTCCATACACAGGCAGCTTTTCAAGATAACAGAACTGTTGATTGTCACCTGCCCGCTGGCGTCCAGCAATCTGGTGCCCTGGATCTGGCGGGTGAGAAGCCAATTGCAAAGTGGCAGTTAAAGGTAAAAAACTGAAAGATGTATTTATAAACAAAGTAAGTACTTGCACATAAAATTTCATAATGAATCTATGAAGCTACATGTAGAACCACAGTCTTACTGTAGGACATTTTTTTTCTAGCTTTATTTATTTATTTATTTTTCATCCTTTATATTAGTGTATGGTTGCAATACAGAATGGTGATGCTCTTTCTGGGGAATTGGTGCATATGTAATACATTCCGTGGTCATTGTTAATCTTTTTATCCCCTTTCCATTAGCTCCTCCCTCCCTGCGATCCTCTTGAACACCTCCAAGCGCCTGCTTCTAACTCCCTATCATCTCTCTTTCCTTCCTGATACATTTACATATTACATGTGATGAGTAACTTTTTGTGTCTGACTTATTCTTACAGATATCCAATGATGGCTATATCTTCAGTAATCCCAAAATAATGATCATCTATGATGGCGCTTGTCAAGTTTGTGGTCTCTATGAAAATGATTCATGTAGTATAAAAGTATGCATCTTTTCGCTTATTTTCACATTTACATCATAGGTATTTTCATTTTCCATGCTGTTGACATATTAAATGTAGCTTTTCAACCTCATATTGGAATACATCATAGAAAAGTTTTCCTCAAATTTATATAATGTTAACTGAAATTGTTATTCATCCTATACTTCGTTGAAATGGTAAAGAAAAAGTTCTGTTTTTAGTATTTGAAATGGCATATTGTTTATCCTTAGAAAACAAAATAGAGGGTCCAGGTAGACATTTTCACTCCTTGAGGCCTACACACACTGATTTTCTTTCAGTGTAACAAGGACTTTCCAATAAGATATCTCTTGTGTATTATACTTAGTATATCGATCAGTTTTCTGCTACTAGGACAAAAATGCCCAACACCCATGACACAAAGGAGGAGAGGCTTGTTTTCGGTTCATACCTTCAGTGGGTTTGGAGCACGGTCAGCTGGCTACAAGGCAGAGTGACATGATGGAGGAAAGGTGTTGACCACGCTGTGGTTAGGAAGCAGAGAGAAAAGGGAGGCGCTAGGGACAGTACGTCCTTCTGGGTCACGCCCCTGGTGATCTGAGTTGTCTGCAGGCCCCACCTCCAAAGAGGACAGTCCACTGTGAACTCATCACTGGACAAACCCCCCATGAGTTTAGTGCCCCATGGCCCAATCACCTCCAAAGCCCTGCCTCTGAATCTGAGACTTTTGGAATACATTTGAGATATAAACTGTGACATTCAGACTGTGTGGCCTCCCAAAGACTCATGTCTATCTTATTATACCAAATGCATTTCTAAGGGTTGTCGAAGCCTTAACAATTCAACCATTGCTGAAAAGTCCAAGTCCAGAGTCTCCTTTGAGAATCAAAGGTAGCTATTAGCCAGGTGGGCTCTTGTAAAAATGAAAAAGAAAGTTAATACTTCTAATACACAATAGGACGGGATAAACATTCCTGTTCAAAGTGTGGAGCTGGGGATATAGAAAGGAATTAGAGTTGGGTGTGGTGGCACATGCCTGTAATCCCAGCACTCGGGAAGCTGAGGCAGGAGGATGGTTGCGAGTTTGAGACCAGCCTGGACTACAAAGTGATCTCACAGCCAGTCTGAACTGCACAGCGAGAGGTTGTCGCAAAAAGACCAAAAAAAAAAAGGACTTAGACAATCCTAGCACTTGGGAGGCTGAGGCAGGAGGACTGCTGCTAGTACAAGGCCAGCCTGGGCTACGTAAGTGAGTTCAAGGCCAGCCTGACCTGCACAGTGAGACCCTGTCTCAAAAAAAAAAAGACCAGAAAATTAAAAAAGAAAAAAGAAAAAAAAGAATTAGACAAAGCAAGACCAAAAAAAAAAAAAAAAGACCAAAATCCACCTGGAAAATACATTAAAACCTATAGTTTCATGTTCAACACTTAGGGTGGGTTGTGTTGAGTTGTGAGTTCCAAAGGGCTGGGGAAGTCGCTCTCTTTTGTTCTTGCCATTTGCGGCTGATCTGGCTTCTCTGTTGGGCTGACTCCACTGTCTGACTGCAGCTTTCCTCAGGAGACATTCCATTTCCCGAGCATTTTCAGCTTCCTGGGTTTCCACTGCACCTTTGGCCATACTCTCATGGTTTTATGTACTACCCTTATATAGGTTCCTGGTCAGGACTGTGACCTTTTCACAGATTTTTGTCTGGTCTCCCAGGGCTTTTTGTGAAATCTGAGTGGAAGCCTCCATGACCTCATAACTATTGCATCCTACATGCTTAAATAAGCAACACCACATGGGTGACACCAAGGTCAGCTGCCAGCTTAAGAAGCAGTTGGGTCACCTCAGACCATAGCTGCAACAGCCTCTGAGTGCCTAAATGACTGAACTCAGAGATTCTCTTCTGTAGGTGAATGAGCAGGCATCTCAGAAAATATCTTCTACAATGAAAGATTTACAGTTTTGCATTTTTGAACCCGCAGTGGATAGGATTTTGCTAATTTCCATGATGCTCTCAAGGCACCTTTCTTCTTATTCCTATACAAAATCCTTGAGTTCTTTTTATTAATAATCTTTTTAGCAACCATGCTCTGATTTACCACAAATTTGCAGGTTCTTCTTTATGGCAAAATTGCAGACATTTCAAAGTATTCAGCTGTGGTCCTTCCTCCTGATTCTCAGTGTAGATCTAGCTATATGCACCCAGCAGTACCCATACCACAGTCTGAACATTGGGCTGCCTTGAAAATCTCTCTGCCAGACTAATTTGTTCACTTCCCTCAAACACAGTCTCCTGAGAAACCTGAGGACATGGGCAAAATATAGACAAATTTTCTGCCAGATCCTAACACCCCTGATCATTTGAAGCCTGCTAAGCTTGATCTTTATGATCCCCATTCTTATCAGCATTCCGCTCTTCTGAGCTCTAACAAATATTGCACATCAAGCTGTGTTCAAAATGTTCTAGAGCTTTTCCTGTCTCTCCAAACCTTCTCAAACTCCTTTTGCAAGCCCCTTCAAAAGGGTTCTGAACTACAAGGTTAAACATAGCCACAGCAGTGACCCCACTGGTGTTACTAATTTTCTGTATTAGTGACCTTTCTGTCCTTGGGGCAATGTATGGAACACCTGCAAGTTAAAGGAGAAGAGGTTTATTATGGTTCACAGTTTCAGTGGATTTAGTCCATTTTCTAAAGCGGCACAGTGTGACAAAATGATATGGAGGAGAAAAGCTGTTTACCACCTGCTAGCCAGGAAGCCAGAACAAGGAGGGAGGAGCTGGGACAGAGATAAACCCTTCCAGGTCATGTGCCCAGGAACCCGCCTCTTCCGACAGGGCTCCATTTCTGAACTCCACTATGAAACTTGGCTATGAAGTCATCAATGGATTCACCTACTGATGTGTATAATGTCCGCATGATCTAATCACCTCTAAAATCCACACCATTGAGTATGAGGCTTTGGGGAGACATTTTACATCTAAACCATAAGACCTAGTCCTCTTTGAGACAAGTGACATGCATTTGAGTAGCTTGTCCGATGCGCACAGCTAACACTTTTACAGTTTTCTGACAACTGAATGTTTTTGGACCTAGCAAATTTCCACTACTGATTATAGACAATACCACAATTTAAGCATAGTTCTTTTAGGCACACCTCTTCTTATATCAGTCTACCAGGCTTATTCACAGGGCTTTCTCACATGCGAATGACTGATTCAGCAGTTGTTATTGACCTAATAGCCCTTGATCCTTAAAAACTAAGGAATATACTAGTAAAATTTATGTAAATAATATTAAAAGATATTTTTCTAAATTTTAAATCTTGTTTTTCTTGAGATTGACTGTCATTTGTGTCAGTCAGTAGAAAATTTTGGTTCTTGAGAAGTTATTTGATTTTTACTTTCCTACAGACTTTCATTTCCATATGCTCATAAGTGTTTTAGAAATGTTTTATTCAAGGTCGTCTTATTCTCTTGGGACTCTTTGTTCCCATTTTTGTACAATATTAAGCATGATATCAAAAGAGATTTTGGAAGATGAGCAAAGGTTCTCAAACTCTGGTCCTCTTCCTAAATTACAATGGTTGCTACATTTATTATTCTTTCCATACATGTCAGCATCTTCAACTTCTTTTGTAGTGATAATTGTTGTCAAGTATGGATAAATATGTGATGGATCTGGTCTAACTGGCCGCATTCATAGAAAAGAATGTCCTACTAGGCAAAAATATTCATTAATAAAGCACTCTTTCTATGACTTTAGCAATAAAAAAGACAAAAAAGAAATGAGAAATTTTTCTCTTGTGGTCTTTATAAGCCATAAGCTATAATCTCTGCAGAGATATAGCTTATGTGTATATTTTTATTTCTCTGAATTTATCAGTTCCAGGTGTACTTATACATACACCAAATAATTTCTTGTCTAACAAGATATTTGTAATATCTGATTTAAAATATTTCTTAAACAGAGTTGTATACATTCATTATAATCATAAATATATATGCATTTTATGGACATTTTTTATGTATACTAACTACAGCTTATCTTATTGATATTTTCCTTTTCCTTTTGCAAAAAATTTCCATTAGGAAAATGGTTGCATTATCAATGGCGTCTGCTACACTGAAGGGGATAAAAACCTCACCAGTCCTTGTTTGATTTGTAGACCTCAAATCTCCAAATTTACCTGGGCATATTTAGAAAGTAAGTTATTTTTATTAACTAAAATATTTCTTCTGCAATATAGTTTGGAAGTGATTTTTTTTTAACCAGGAGTTATAAAAATGTGATGAACTCTGTATTAATTTGGCATCCCTTTTAACTGTATAACTGACTTTAAGGAAATGTCAAATGGAAACATTCTTTTCAAGATAGTCATGTGTAGCATAATGATGTATTGCTCAACAGCAGGCTGCATATGCAACAACTGGTGTATAAGATTATATCACGCAGTAAAGTCATAGCTGTTTTAGTTAAAATACTCGCTATGGTGACCCCATTGCTTAGCAGCACATTTCTCAGAAGTTATCATCAGTAAGTGACCCTTAACTGTATATGATTTTATGATCATGCTATACTAGGCCTGAAATACTTGTTTTAATATTTGGCAAAGAAAGCAAATGTGAATTATTAATGGAAGAAGTGGGAATTGTTAATTTAGTTGTACGCAATTTCCTACCCCTAACCTTACCTCCACTGAGTTTTATGACAGGGCTTTTAATCATTTATGCTCCAAATAACATGGATTCATCATTTGTGAAATAAAGTGTCTGGACCCAGTCTATACATTGCCTTCCAACACTGCCGTTCTGTGAAATGACAAGTATAATACCGGGTACAGATAATTTTGAGATTTTGTTCTTGCTTTTTTGAGACAGAGTTGCACTATGCAGTTCAGGCTGGCCTTGAACTCACTTTGTAGCCCTGGCTGGCCCTGAACTCCCAGTCATCCTCCTGCCTCAGCCTCCTGAGTGCTGGGATTACAGGTGTGTAATTTTGAGATTTTTTTGTTCCACACAAACAATATCCCAAAATGCGGTCACATGCCATGTAGCTACCCTAAACACAGCTATGTATGATTCCAGCTGAGTGTCCAGGGTGTCTTTCCTCATGTGATGAAGTATTATTAGATACAATACAGGATACATTCATGGCCCCATGTAATTTTGTCTGAGAGAGTAATGAAGCCTACATTTATATGGAGCTTCCTGATACTATTATACATGTCATTGTATGCACATATTTCATTACTATATTAGGTCATTTGCCAGAAGAGTCACTGCGTAAGCACAAGATGCCTAGAATATTGCAGGAAGACAATCACACTTCGAGGAAGAATTTAGTGCAAGAGAGTGAAAACACAGTGTAACTTCTCAGCTGGCATTTGTTCCTTGGTAGCTTGTAATGTGATTGATTCCTTAGAGATCCCTAGTGCTCAGAGATACAAAGGGACTTAAAATATCATGTTCTTAACTCCCCAGGCTGAAGATGAAGAAGCTAAGATTGATAAATTAAGCCGCTGTGTCAGGATATGCAGGGACAGAGTGGGAACCCGAGCTACAGTCTCTTGGCTCAGGGCTTCCCGGGTGCAAGCAGTGTTTGTGACAGTATCACTCTGCATTCAGCCAGTGGGCAGGAAAGGCGGATATTTCTAAAACACAAGACAAGATAAAATGATATTTGAATGGTTTCATGAGCACAAAGAGCGCTCTTACGCCTGATACAGCTGCTTTACTCCTGCGTGAGCTCGCGCGCTGGAAGGACTTCAGAGGAGCAGGAGGTGGCAATGCCTGATGGCAGCTGGTTACACACTGTGGAGCTGGGCACCGTAAAGGCAGCTGAGGGGAGTCGAATGAGAGTGCGTCACAGGAGAGACTTATAAACTGAGAAAGGGATGTGCAGAAGGATGAGGCAAACGAGGAGGGTGAAGAGGGAGGGAGGGAGGGAGGAGGTTAGAGGGAGCAGGACAGAGAGGGCGCATGCGCGCACACGCAGGAAGATGTTCAACCCCGAGAAGTAGTTTAAGCAGAGGAGGAGATGCGTCCAGCCCGGGCAGTTGAAGTGTATTTCTGTATTTCGAGCAGTTTTCACACTTTCATAACAAAGCTTGAGGTCCGTTACTTTTACATCTCTTCGAATGGGATCAAGTGTATTCAGAAGGCTGAATGAAATGAAAGCAAGTGATAGAACCACGGCAGAGTTCACCCTGTGTCAAATTGCCCATCCCTTTCTCAGAATTCAGACTCACACGCCCTTCCCTTTCTGCGCACACACAAGAGCAAATGATTTCTCTGCTGCAGATAACCTCCCCCCTGCGATACAAACGTCACAAGACAAATTACAGGCATTTTATGGAGAAAACTTTGAGTACCAGTTCTCGGCCTTGGACCCAGAAGGCTCTGCAGTTCGCTTCACACTGGAGTCGGGGCCGGAGGGAGCGCACATCTCCTCCGCAGGACGGCTAACGTGGGAAGCAGAGTCGCAGGTTCCACAGCGATTCACTCTCCGCCTCCGTGATGACTGCGATGGTGAAACCAGAGCCACAATCGAGGTCAGAACTCCAACTACGTATGTAAAAGCCACCAGATCCTTTCACAGTAGCGTCAACTGCACTTTAATTCTGAAGCACAAAACATATTCTGAATTGCAGAGAGCAACGCAGTGAAGTTGCTAAATATCGAATATTTCATGGTTCTCTGTAAAAACAGAGAAATCCCCAATGCAGAAGCAGGGAACTAAAGTAATAATCTACAGTTTTATTCTACACTTAACCATGACATGGGGAAAGAATTCATTCCTTTCCATTTCATGAGTGACCTGCCGCTAACATAAGACTGAGTGTTATACCCTTTGCCTTCAGGGTGAAAGAATCTCAGATGTTAAATTAGAATCAAAACTATAGATGGAAGGCTTGAAATAACAAATTAATGACTAAAGTTTCTTTACTGACTTTTTTTGTTATGCCAGACAAAGTTCTCAATATTTATAAACCCTTTTATACCCTGTCTTTACTGGAAATATGGGGTGTGTTTCACCCAGAAGCAATACAACGCAAAGCAATTGCATTCTGTTGACACGATAGCCAAGCAACTCAAGTCTTCATTTGCTCTCTGGATTTGGGGATAACCTGGATGACTTCTTCCCTCTTGGCTATCTCCCCGCAAGTATTCTGCTTGTATGGTCTAACTTGGTCATCTTGGACCACTGCTTTAAAAAATTAGCCAAACTTACATACTTTGGCTGTGCCCTTGAAAATGGGCATGAGTTTCTTATTAAATCATTTTAACTACCATTTCATATAAAATATGTATGTTACAAAGATATATATTTGAGGACACTTGTTCTTAAGCATCCATGCCCATCTTAATTTCTAGGGCATGCACTGATTATAGTTTTTGTTTTTGGTCTTTTTGAGACAGTGTCTCGCTATGCAGTTCAGGCTGGCCTTGAGCTCACTTTGTGGCCCAGGCTGGCCTCAAACTCGCAACGATCCTCCTGCTTCAGCCTCCCGAGTGCTGGGATTACAGGCGTGCACCACCACGCCCGGCATAATTTTGTTTTGAAATTTACTCTTTTTCTTTCGTAGGTGACTGTGAAGACGTGTGACTGTCTGAACGGTGGATCATGTGTGCCGGACAGGAAATTCCCTCTGGGGAGTGGAGCTTACCTGTGTGTTTGCTTGCCTGGATTCCACGGTGGTCTTTGTGAAGTAGCTGCCCACACGTGCCAGCCAAACCCTTGTGGCCTTGGCAGATGTACCGGCGGTTTGAGCAGCTATTCCTGTGACTGTCCACCTGAGCTCAAAGGTAAGTTCTGGTTCCTCTGAACTGAATGAAAATATGGATGGGTTAGCGAGGGAAGTTCTCTGGAGCGTTTGTCTGTAGACCACTCAAGTAAATGTGAGCCTTTGAAAATTTTAATATACCTTTTAAACACTCTCATACCACAGTAAATGTGCTATTTATATCTTTTGGGGTTTTAAATTTTTTGTAAAGTGCTTCTATTTACTTTTTCAATTTTGCCCATTTTTGTATCTATAATAAAAAGCAAGAAACATGAATTGCAGGTTTATAAACATTTCCACCTATATTTAATAGGTAAAATATATTGAAATATGTTACTCTTGCAATATAATACAGAAAAATAAGAAATTATACCAGCAGAAATACAAGAGCGGCTTTACTGATAATTCACTAAGTTAGAAATATCATGATATAAATTAGAGTGGAAGGTCTAGGACTGTAGCCCCACGGTAAAGCTTTTGCCTACCAAACTCAAGACCCAGGTTCAGTCCCCAGGGAAACACACATACATAACACACACAAACATAATATACACACAACACACACATATGCAAGAGTTGAAATAAAATGAAATGCTACCCTATACGCTAATTATCTGAAATTAATTATCCTATTAATTATTCTAAAATGTCTGATGTCTGACTCCAGTTCTGACAACCTTTAATTTCCTAAGTCTTTTAAAAATCTCTTATACACGTTTTTAAGTTAGATAGATGTAAATACTAAATATCCACCTGTTGAGCTGATATTTATCTTGAAACCATCTATGTTAACATTACAATAGAATGAAGCAGAATATTTTATTTTCTTCATCATATTTAAATGACTCTTTTAGCATTTGGACCTATGAATGTAGGTAGATGGCTATTTTCTACTCTATTTAGACACCATTTGAATGAATGCAAATGTTGGCTGCTTCATGGATTTTTAAATAATAAGGGCTGCTATACACAAGTGAATGAATGAATTTATTCATTCAAATAAGTTGCTAAGGGTTGGGGATTTAGCTCAGTGGCACAGCGCCTGCCTGGCAAGTGCAAGGTCATGAGTTCGATTCCTGGTACCGGAAGAAAAACAAAACACAACAACAACAAAAAAAAAAAAAACCAAATAAGTTGCTAAGCATTTCAAAGACCACCACATCTCAAAATATTTTATTTAAAAGGAGTGGCTTTCCTAACACATTGTAAAATTTTCACAGATTTGTACAGATAGTGCAACCACTGAACAGAGCAGATTGTTCATAAGCTAAGCAGATAACCATTCTAAAGCATTTTTTTTAAAAGATCATTGAGTTTTTAAACAAAGAACAACTTCCTTCTGTGATGCAATATTACTTTGTCTTAAATAGTCACAGACTTTTAAATCATCTCTTGTATAGGAAAGATCTTACATACTTTAAAGGTCAGAGTAAATGTTAGCTGGGGTCTAATGACAATATTTGATTATATGGCATATATTCAAGGCAGCGCATTCTTTTCCACATAATTCATGACAGCTCTGTGCGGGTTAGGAGTTATACAAAGCTGAGCAGACGTATACCATGTGTCAAACTAAATAACTTGAACGCTGGATGTGTATTTCATGCAGGTGCAAACTGCCAAGAAGATGTGGATGAGTGTGCGTCCGAGCCCTGCTTCCCGGGAGCACGTTGCTTCAATACCTTTGGGTCCTATCACTGTGGTTCCTGCCCCAAAGGATTTTATGGTGACGGGAAAATATGTCATGGTAAGCGTTCCTGTTTTCTGCTGCACTGAACTATTCCGGTCACTCGGTTCCCTTTTCTCCTTTACTCATGCATCATTCTATGTGCGTGTGTCAGTGTTGTACACTGAAGTAGATACAGAGGACGCAGACGTGTATCCCACGTCCTCCCACTTCTTAGGTGAGAATGTAATGGGATGGAATATGATCAGTAATCCCCTAGTGCAATAAGGTGTTCTGCATCTGCCTAGAGGGAGGAGTATGAACACAGCACAGGGCATGGTATCCACCTGGAGGGATGATAAAAACCTTTCAAAGAAAATGCTTACTCTGTGCTACGTGCACAGGAAGTGTATCTGATGCAGCAGATCAAAGGAGAGAAGAGCAACGCAGGTAGGAGGAATAGCGCGAGGAAAGGAGAGCTGTGCGACGTCGTGAGACTCCTTGGAGCTGTCGTGGACTGATCAGGCCCTCAACCTCCTAAATGAGTGGACGGTGAACGGCTTAAATAAAAGAAACAAGTGGTAGGATTTTAGGGCTCTGAGCGGGTCAAAGCCCTCTAACAGAATTAGAGGTTCCCTGGGGATTGAGACGAAGAACTTCTGCATACAAAGAACTCCGTATTTATTTGGTTTTTACACAAAGGAAGAGGATACTGAGGTAAGCACTGGAACTGAGCAGGACCTTGGGAGTCAGTTCAAAGACTTCTCCAAAGAGTAAATTTTGCCAGTTAAGAGGACTGTCCTATCTGTAGGGCTGGTAGCTTTCTTGCTCTGGAATAGCGGGTGTCGGGCGCATATCTTTGGTTTCCTCAGCGGTGGTTATGTTGACTTTGGAGCACCGTGCATATCCTCTTGTCCAACACAGCCAGAGGTCCCCGGGTACAGAAACTCAACCCTACAGCCTGGTCTCGAATGGGGCGCTCTGAATAATCCACTTTCCCGGGAGTCCAGAGGGAAGGAGAGTGCTGAAGAGTTGAATCTAGAGAGGAAGCCCGCAGGAAGACCATGGAGAGTCCCTGACGATTTTGAGATAGGAGAGAAACACAGTGAAGTTTACATCTGAGAAAGTTTATTTAGATAATGTAGAAAGTGGAACACTTGTGGATAAGGAACTGTATAAATCTGAAAGTGAGAAGAAAATTTAAAATTGTATCTCCAAGATACAAGAAAAAGTGAAGGGACAGGGATATAGCTCAGTGGCACAGCACCTGCTGGCAATTGCAAGGTTGTGAGTTCGGTTCCTGGCACCAAAAACAAAGAATAAATGAAGATATTCTGCCCTAAGGTGAGATGAAAATGAAAGATGTTAAAGAAGCAAATAGATGATACTTAGTGACTGGGATTAATTAGCACGCAAGATAAGGGAAAGGAAATTGTTCAGTTTCAGACATCTGACTGAGTGTGTAGAATTGGCGTTCACATTGCTATGAGCTGAATTGTGTCTCCCTAAAATTCAGATTTTGAAGCCTGTGTGGCTATACATGGAGTAAGAAAGTTACTAAGATTAAAAGAGATGAAGAGGGTGAGGCCCTGATATAATAGGGTTGCTGACTTTTAAGGAGAGACGCAGGAGAACTCCACCGTCATGTGAGAATGTACTGAGAAAGTGATTGACTTCAATAAATGAAGAAGCTGCTCCCCAAAGACCACACAGACTAGCGCCTGGACCTTGGATTTGAAGCCTCAAGAACACTAAGGAAATAACTATATTCATTCACCCGGCTGTTGTAGCACATGCAGCACGTACGAAGAAGTGGTTTGGGAGGAGAATGATAATGACTCTGTGCATACAGGCAGAACGGAGGACTGTGCTAGATCCACATGAAGCTCAGGAGAGCGGACTTAAAGACAGCACTTACCATCAAAGGCTCTCGAATAAAACTGCACAGGGAGAACACAGATTTAGAGGAAAGGGGACAAAAAAATCATAGATATCAGTACTTTAAAAGGTTAACAGAAAGGTGTGACAAAGAAAAATGAACTCGAGGCTTTCATAGGTAAATGCATGCAGCTAGAGACCATACTCATAAGTGAAATAAATCAGACCTGCATGTGTAAACATGGCATTGTCTCCCTAGTGTAAGAACCTGAAAGAGTAAATAAAACTGAAAGGTACAATAGATATTGTGAAAGGGAAAGAAACTGCTCAATAGGAAAGAACAACTGGGATGAGGGAAAGGAGAAAAGAAAGAAGGGAAAACAATTTTATATAAATGTGTGTGTCTCTGTGTGTATATATATATATATACACACACACACTCTCGAGATATATATATATACACACACACACTCTCTCTCAAGATAGCTAAGATAATTGCACTACTAATTTTTGTTGGTTTATTGAAAGGAACAATTAATGTGTAATTGTTTGATCAATCTTACATGTCTATATCTGGCTATCTGAGCAACTACTCTGAAGATAACAATATGTAATACAACAACCATTATTGATTTCCTATCACCTTGTTTTGAAATAGTGTATAGTTTTTATAGTTCTTGTGTTGTTTTGTTTTTGTCTTTGTTTTTGTTATTTTGTTTTTGTTCTTTTCTCTTCAAAATAAAAAAATATATAAAAGAGAAAGGCAGGTACCAAAAGGTTATATCTGGCATAGTTGAATGATATCCTGTTTTGATAAAGAAAGTATTAATGGCATAAGACCACCTTTCTCACTTGAGATTGGGGTGGCCCTCTCTATAAGTGGAGGTCACAAGTATGAGGAGCACAGTGCAGAAATATAAGAGGATTCTGTACTCTGTCAGCTGTTTGCATTTTCTCTTCAGTGTCCAATTCCTAACATTTACATCTTCTGCTCCTTGACAAACATCCCTCTTTTCCAAAGAGTCCTGTTTCCTCAATAATACATTTATCCGGTGAACTTGTAAACGGAGAGCAAATTGAACCAAATCCCATTACACGTGAATGACTAATGATTTCCTCACTTTGTCAGAGTAATGTGTGCATTTTAGGAAATTGCTTACTCTAATGGAAATTTTGGTTGCTTGTGGTTACTTAGTTTTATGAAAGGCAACCAAGTTGAAGAATATAAACATAAATAAGAAACACAATTCTTACTACTGAGGTTACTGCTCAGGGAAGGGGACCCATAAAAATCACCAGCATGAAAGACAAAGGGCTGTGGAAGAACTTGGAAGGACAAAACAGGTTGAGTGTGTAAGTGACAGTGAAGACAGGTCTGTGGGTTAGCTCGGGCTGGCACAGTGGAACACCACGGCCTGAGGGACTCCAGCAACAGAAATTTATTTTCTCACAGTTCTGGAGGCTGGAAGTTCAAGGTCGAGGTGATAATTTGGTTGGTTTGGGGTGAGAGCTTCTTCCTGGCTTGCAGATGGAGACCTTTCCTCTGCGTATGGGTGTCTGGTGTCTTCTCCTTTCCTTGCGTCAATAGTTCTCCTGGGCCAGGGCCCTGCTCTTCTGATTTCATGAAATCTTAAATAGCTTCTTAATGTCCTCGTCTATAAATACAGCCGCACTTAGGGTTGAGGTTTTAGTGTGTCAATTTTGAGGCACACAATTTCACACATAGCAGAGGGTTTCCTGAAGAGATGATATCCAAAGTGATTCTCTAAATTGCAAAAGAGCTCAATCTAAATGACATGTATATTATATGCTCTTACCCACGATGCTTTGGTTTTGTAAGAATTTTAACTCTGATTCTATTTTCATACGCGAATTATAGTTGAAACACTAATTTTAAATGAATTTACGACACAAACTGTGGTTATCACAGGATCTGACAAAGACGTAATTAATGAAGAGGGTACCAAACAAGGACAGAATCATGTTAAGCCAACAAACAGAAATGCCTCTATTAAGTAATACCCTTAGTTCAGCTCTAGTGAATATATTTTCAATTTTTTTTCCCCAAAATCAACATAATTATTCCTCAGGTATTTTTACTTTCAAAAAAATTATCAGAAGATTGTATGGTGCAGTTTAAAATTTATTCTTTTTCTTGCTAATCTATTGAATCCTTTGGCTTATGTTCTAGAACATTCATCCAGGTCACATAATGAATGAAGGATACATCATTTAAGGCAATTTCACAGAAGCTCATTCATCATTGTTCTTTAACTTTTATACTAGGTAACATTATGTGCTCTCCTGTCTACCCAAGTAGCTTATAATATCTTTGAAGGCAGGAACACTTTCAGAACTTTATACTCACAGCTTATAGCATGGCTCATAGTATAGTTGTAGCTGTAGATAGTGTAGTGTACTTGTAGACTCTAGTGAAGGAATGAATTACTTAATGCCAGATATTTGGGGGAGCAGATTAAAGTTACTGGCTAATCTATTTTTTTTTCTGCTTGTTTAGGTTTGAATGCTCAGGCACCATCAACAGAGAGTTCAATGATTGGTAGAAACATTACCCACAGTCCTGCCATTATCAAAAAGTTCTTGAACACAATGAACATCTCCTACCTGTCAGTAAAATCAGTTACAACTCAAATGGATAATTCCAAGATGGTTGCTTCTCCTCAGATAACAGATTATGAACATGTGGATCATGATCTCAGCACGAATACCAGTCTACATGAGTCAGACATTCCTCTGAACAGCAGTAACTCATTAACTGCTAATCCACATGGTTCCAGTGGTGAACTGAAAGATGTTAACCATAGCTCCATCCAAACAGAGGCAGGAGGCTACGATTCTCACATTAACGGCTTCTCCCAGGGTTACACACAATCTAAGGGTGACATGCTTGTGACCTCAGATACTGAAACAGTCACTATTCTGCCCGAAAAGTTTGGGTTAACCACAGTGTCAACTTGCGCTGACTCACCTTGCTTTCTGGGTGTTTCCTGCGTGCCAACCACAGATGGTCGCTTCCGATGTGGACGCTGCCCCTCGGGGTATTATGGAGATGGTATCCGTTGCAGAGGTACTATAAGCCTCCTTCACAAGGTGCAAATGAAACTGTAGTTCCAACTCAAGTGACTAAGAAGACAGGCTCTTCACTTGCTAATTTCTATTGATTTAATTTAGCTCACCATATTTTGAAAACAAAGTGGGCTTTCTGAGTTACTTTTTAAAATGCTAATATTACACACTATTAAAATTATATAATACATACTATATATATCATTTATGTCACATCACCCACCACTCTGCAAACCAAGTGTTCTTTTCTTTGTATAGAGAATAAGGCTTTGAGAGGCTATCCCTAAATAGCTAGAGATAAAACAAGGATATGAATATAGATCTGATTAGTATCTAGCCTGGTTCTTTTTAGTTCACAATATTTTAGTACTTTAAATGACTAATTCTGGAATCTTTATTTTTGTTTATATTTTGTATGTTTCTTTATCATTCTTCCAATTTGAAATGAACAAGTTTTGATTCATTTTCATTTTACATATATTGGTTACATCTTTTCACAACGATCTGCACTGATTTCCTGATACAAAGCCAGGTTGGATTTGAGGACATATAAGCTCTATATTTTGTTGCTGCTGTTATTGCTTTGCTACTCTGTTTTGTTTTGTGTTTTGGTTTGAGGACAAAATTAAGAAAGAAAGCTGTTGGAGCATTCCTGTGTTCCTACTGTTACCTGAGAAATGCAAACTAAAAAATCACCTAAGAAAGAAACTGTTGTAGGAATTTGAATAATAATTCTCAACACCTAAATGTTCATAATACAGAATTTCTTATTTTCAACAAATTTTAATGTTTCATGCATTTGAATTACCCGAGTGTTACACATTCAATGGACTAGATCAGGTAGTCTAAAGAATGTAAAGTTACTAGTTTATGAAGTTTTCTGGGCTTCTTACTCTTTGAAATTTTGAATGTTTCTGTCATTCATCAATATTTAGCTGACTGTATCTGAAACTTCATTTCCCTCTGAAAAAAGTATTTCATGCAATCCCACATGTGTTTAGCTGCTAAACAGTGTTACATATTATTATGAGAGTAGTTGTCATGTGCATACTTCCGAGTCTAGTAACCATTTTTCTGAGCCATTCTAATAGTAAAGCAAATATAAAGAAAAAAATTACTATATTTAAATGGTTAAATATAGTGGTTGCTTAATGCTATGTTTAACAAAGTCAAATTTAGGGAAAATTTAACCTTATTCTAACTAAAGTTGAGGAACCTGCATTTGATATAATTCGGCCATTTTTCTTTGATGTTTGCAGCCATTTGTAGACGTCCATGTGGAAAAAATAGGGTGTGTGTTGCACCAAATACATGCACATGTAAGCCTGGTTACGCCGGTTCTAACTGCCAAACTGGTAGGTACATCATTCGTTACTTTGTGTAAGGAGTTTTACCTGCTGTTTGCTATTTCTAAGCCATGGGGTCTGTTTTATACAGCTGTCTGTCAGCCTGCCTGCGGGAACCTTGGGAAGTGCGTTAAGCCTAACATCTGTGACTGTCGTCCAGGACACGGTGGAGCAACCTGTGAGGAAGGTGACAATTCAAACTGAAAATCGTCTCCTAGGCCTGAAATAAGACATTTTCCTTTTTAAATATGGTTTAAGATAGTTCACCTTTACTGTGTATGTATTAATTTGTATTCATTGATGTTGGCACAAGAGTCTGTGCTTTTTAAATATTTCCTTAAAAAGTTTCAGAATTTTAAAAACTTAAATTTCAGAAATCTGAGCTCCAAAGAACAATGGTTTATCTTTGGTAAAGTCATTTTCCAAAATCAGTTTTTGAAACTTCGCCTGCCTGGCAAGCGCTAGGTCCTGAGTTCAATTCCCAGTACCAAAAAAAAAAAAAAAAAAGTGAAATTTAATTATGTTATCATAGCCTTACAAATTTTTTGTCCTTAACAAAAATATTCTTAATTATTAAATGATCTATCAAAAATTATTCCAGGAAATCATTAAATGTAAAATAATTAGAGTTTATAAGGTAACAAGAAAACTATAGTGATTTTTAAAGTACATTTATAGACCTATAAATAACATTGCTTTGGTTGACATAGTAAGTAAAAAATTTATGAAAGTTTTGTTATTTTAAAAAGTTTCTAAAGGAATATATTTTGAAGTGGTCCCCATAATTTTGAATAAAATGAGTTTTTTCAAATTCTTGGACCACAAGAAAACTACCAGTTAACAATTTAGGGTGAGGGGCTGGGGATTTAGCTCAGTGGCAAAAGCACCTGCCTGGCATGCGCAAGGTCGTGAGTTCGGTTCCCGGTACCGGAGAAAACCAAAAATAAAAACAATTTAGGGTGAACTAACAAAAATATTCATGATCAGTAACATATAAAATAACTATGGAAGCATAGAAAAATTCTTTTTGTAGAACAGGAATACATAAGCCCACCTTTGAAAAGACACCAACAGTTATATATTTCCATTCAATTATTCACAGTTCTTTTAAGTCTTTCACACACCTACATGAGTCATGTTGTCTAGGTTTCTTTTATAAACCAAAACATGTTGATCATTGGTGTTTTGGAAACGTGACTGCATTAATCCCATAGAACTAAACTGCATAATAGTGGAGGACTGAGATTGTTATAACCGTTCTTACCACAAGGCTTATTGGTTCTGTGCTTTGTAAATATAAGCTGATTTTAAATTAAGTTGTGATTTAATGATGTAATGTGTCACAGAACTTTGCAGCCCACCTTGCCAACATGGTGGCATGTGCTTGCCTGGCAATCTCTGCTCTTGTGCTTATGGCTTTGTCGGACCAAGGTGTGAAACAAGTAAGCAAAACTTTCCTTCTGCTTTGATGAGCTGATGACTTTCATGCTAAATGACATGAACCCAAACCTTACATTCTGATGACGGTCACCGCCCTCGATGGCACTTGGCGCAGCCATGGTGACCACCAGTACTAAGACGTAGAATTTTGTTCTCAGAATGATTCTCTTCTGCACTCTCACCATGATCTTTTCTTTGTGATAACAGGGACTCATATTTGTTCATTTGCATACAAATGTAGCTAATTTAATTTAAGATTGTTTTCTGCGGTAACATGATTTCCCCAAATGATCAATTCTTGTTTACTATTCTGCTCAACGATTTTCTACTTTCTTTATTATCTCTATTAAGAAGAATATAATTGAACATAAACACTGGAGACCATTTGAAGCCAAACTATCTAGTATGTTTTATTTTTCTTCCTGATCTTACTCATCGGCAGATGTGATGGGCAGTTAGAGGCTAGTGAGGTAATAGCCAACAATATGACCACTTCACACCTGATTTATGTTAATTTTATTTTTGTCCTATGATCGTAGTGGTTTGCAACAGACACTGTGAAAATGGAGGTGAATGTCTTGCACCCGATGTTTGCCAATGCAAGCCTGGCTGGTATGGACCCACCTGTAATACCGGTAAAATAAGAAATGCTTTCAATGAAATTGTCAAACTAAAAAATTTAAAATGTGCCAATGTTCAAAAGACTTATGCTTAAGAAAGAAAACTGATTTAACATGCCAAGTATGAAGCTGTCATTTCAAATCTTACATCTTTTTTTTTTTTTACCTTCTTGTATTGGTCCAATAGAATCTTATAGAATCTTACAGGATCTTTATTGTATATTTTCATCATAACACATTCTGTTTAATTATTTCTAAAGAATTCTGAGTTAACTGCACACAGATAATGTGATTCCACTTATTTATCACATTGTCTGGCTTCTTTAGCAGAATTCTTTGCAGTTTTCATGTTTAATTTAATTCAGTATTATCTAATGAATGAAAATTTAATTGAACATTTATAACTTGTCAATTATATAAAAAGAATAATGCAAAGGGAAAAAAGATGGACTGGTTTCTTGCCCTTGTTTCAAGTAGCACATCATTAGTGAAGAAGGAATAAAATACAGTTATTACAAAAAGAGACTATAAGGTTGGTTTATGATAAGTTATATAATGAATCACAATTCTTTGGAGGCAAAGAGAAATTAATTGCTAGTTGAATTTGGAAGAAAATAGTAATCTATGTGGATGTTGGAGAACTGGTAAAATCTAGGTTAAAAATAGAATGAGGAGTGCCTTTCAGTACAAAACAAAGGTCATGAAGCAAAAAGAAAGAATGTTTTAGAGTATGCAAGAGTCGGAGTGCTGTGTCCCTATCATATGTCGGAAGGCAATAAAGAGGTATGAACGGACACATGTGTCTGAGCTGGTTACAAACCGTTCCGGTAGTGTTACTGAATTCAAGTCTTCTCTTGCAGTCTTTTTTCGTCTTACCCATGGCTTTCTGATTTCTATACACACAGTCCACGTTCTGTATAAGTCATGCGCACAAACCAGTTACGGTACTGGAGCCCTCCTCTCAACACTCTGAGTATATTATTTGTAAACTTAATAAACACACTTTGAAAGCAGTTCCTCAGCTACTTTCTCTCTCTTATTTGGCAAAGTCAAATTAATTATAGGTTATGGGTTTTACTTGCAGTAAAAATAAAATATTTTTTTGTTATGAGGCAGTTTTACTTCTGTTCAACTTTCATATCTAAAATATAAAATATTAATAATTTCTTTATTTCACGCTGTTCCCAGCTTTGTGTGATCCTGTTTGCCTCAATGGTGGTTCCTGTTACAAGCCAAACACTTGCCTCTGTCCAAATGGATTCTTTGGTGCGCGCTGTCAGAATGGTAATTATTCTTCATTTAGAAGTAAAATAGGGAAATGAGATGCTAGACCACAATAGAGTTTTGAGCGAACACAAGACGAGTTTCAGAGTGGAAGGTGCTGTTTATTTTTTGGCCTCTACTTCTTATTGACATTGCAGATAGGGTCACAAATGGCTATGTCGTACACATGTATCAACGTTATCATGTAGGTAGTGATTATTTATCTCACTGCGTTCGGCTGATCACTTTGGGATTTGTCCGTACAAGATGAAAAATGTAAGCAAAGTTCTAATTGTAATGAAATAGAGGCAGTTTTGTTGTCTTCACAGCAAAAAAATGTTTGATCTGTGATCAGTCGACTATCTGTTTTTATCCCATAATCTCTGTAGTTTCATTAAACATTTATGAAGAGTCATCTACGCATAACACTATGCAAAATTATATGGGGACGTCCAGACGCACTGTTTTCCCCTTTGTGGCCCATTATTTTTTTTTGTGGGTACCGGGAATCAAACTCAGGATCTTGCACTTGCCAGGCAGGCGCTTGTGCCGCTGAGCTGCATCCCCAGCCCAGTGGCCCATTATTTTAATACCATCGTCTGTACAATAAATGCTAACTGACTTCCTCAGAATAATGGCAGTGTCGGAGCCAGTTTGCAGAATGGAAAGAACTGAAGACTAAGTTAAGGCAAATCTTAGCAATAAGGAGACAGCCTGAGTCCATCTGAAGAATGATTATAATTTAGTGTTGAGTGAGAAAGTAGGAGGAAAGTGAAGTCTACATCTGTCATTGTGCTTCGCTAGGGGAAGGACACAGGAAGCAAAGTTCTCAAAAAACATACGTTGGCTGTGTGACTGGACAGAGAAAGGATTCTCTGAAATTAAGTTGAGCTTAAACTTTTCTACCAAACACTTCTTTTTAAAGGCCCAAGAAACAGGTTGCTGTGAGAAGGGAGTAGATTTTGGTAATTTGTCTCCACAGCTTGCTAGCCAGCCTAGAGTTTGGAAACTTGCTGTGAGTAGCAAGGCCTAAGAATTCAGGTTTTCGAGTTTGATGTAGACAGTGTTAGATCACAACCCCTTGAAAGCCCAAATGAGAGGAAAGGAAGTTGGCGCACGTATGAAAACCACATAAATAAAATTAGAGTGCATTTAAAAGTAAGTAGGAGGGACATACTCTGTGTGTACTATAGAACTTCAAAGGAAAAAGAAGTTGAACTAAAACCACAATAAGGTTAAACTACCTTTCAATAACAAAACTTAAAATGTATAGCTGAAGAAATATATAAATATACCTTCTAATTTCCTTCATCCCTTCAAATCCTTGACACCTTAGCTCACTTTGGAGTTTGTTAGTTTTGCCTCTGGGTCCTGTAGAATCCTGTGTGAGAGTCTGTTTTCTCCTAAAACTCCTGTGATTCTGGGTAGATGACAAAATCCAAATTTTATGCCCTTTATATTTATTATTTTAATTTTGTAGATTTTTTGGTGTAAATGTAATGTTTGTCTCTACTTTCACACCTTTATGAATGATTATTACATAAACTTACCTGCCACAAGCATTAAATTTCGAACCATAGGCATTTGTTATGGTATTGGTCATGGAAAGAATTTTTTTTTTGCTACATATAAATCATCTTAAATTGTGTAAAGAATAAGGAGTATAACATATCAAAGCATTTCAGTACTAATAAAAAGTAAGGTGTACCTCTGTTTGTAATCGTCCGAGTGGAGGTGTTTTATTAGTCGGTGTTCAAAATCTCAGTGGCCAGCCGCAAGCATTTATTTCCATTGTACAAACACCCTACAGGTTGGTGGACTGGACTCTAGAGTGTTTCACCTGTCTGTCTGTCTCTGTAGGCCGAATGTACATGGGCACGACATTCTCAAGCTAAGAGAAGCAAGCAAGAAGCCCAAACAAACTACCCTGTATGTACAGAGCTTCTTCTTGCATTTTGTCAACTCACAGCCCTTTGGTCAGAACCAATCATAGGACAAAGAATAGTAACAATTTTATGAGGAAATAAACTCCACCTGCAGTGGAGTGGAGGTGACACCAAGTCAAATGGCAAAGAACATGAATGCAAAGAGTCAACCGGGAACAATAATCAATAATCCATCCTAACTTCACTTAATATAGAAACACACAAATCACTGTCACAGTTTTTTCCCTTTCTCTGTGAAGTTTGTTCAATAAGTGCATTATAAAAAGGCATCAATAAAACATTAGAGAAAGTGGGCTCAGTCATGAACCAAGGAAAGTGCAACTTAAAATAGGCATTATCCATTGCTAAAGCACCCAGTTACATTGTGTTTATAATGAAAGTGCTACATGATTTATATTTATGAATCCATCTGAAATCAGTAGATTGTTTTTTACAGTGTTTAGAAAATGAAGAAAGCAGCTGCTAATGGGAGTCAGTCTATCGAGCTCTGTTACTAAAACCTATTAATTTGAAATTCATTCTTGAAATACCAATACATCCATTTTAATATCACTTAGAGAGAAATTTTTAAAACTTTTAGACAGGTTTGCCTGTGTATTTTTTTTTAAAAAAATACTGCATTTAGAGGCCTGGGTGTAGCTCAGTGGTAGAGTGTCCAAGACCCTTGCTTCCTTCTCCAGCACTAAAAACAAAAACAAAACAAACAAGCAAACTGTTAATATTTAATGTTCATCTATGGAAGAAACATGAGCAACAATAATTCTCTTATGAAAATGGTAAATACTAACTTCTGAATTCTATAGAACAGAATTACATACACAGAGGATACTAGTAAGGTATATTGTGAATATCTAATAAATGTTCCAAATAGAGCTGAAGATTTATTGTTTAAAAAAAAATCTTTACCAAAAAGTCACAGGAAGTGGTCAAATAAAACTTCCTCATGACCTCAGTATGTATTCAAGAGTTAATTTAAAAGTATTTTTCTAATACTTTTCTGGCACCATGAGACAAAATAATTGAGATTTTTCTAATTTCTACTGGACAAATAAATTCTTACTTTGAGCTAGATTTTGACTTATTTCCAAGGCTTTTGTCCAGATCACTTCATGCTTTACTTCACAATATGATAAAACATAAATTACGGTTTATAATATGTGCACTGTGATAGCAAAGACTCCATTTATTGTGAATAGTCCGCCAATGCATTTCCAATGGTGCTAGCCCCCTAGCAGACCCTGTCTATAAGCACTGCATTTTATGATTAAGAAACAGTAGTTTCAATGAGCTGCGGTTGTGATGTTTTATGTCAGCAGCACACCTCTCTGCCTCCTGGCTCCGTCCATGACTGCAGTGTGCAGTGTGCCATAACTGAGTGCGGAATGTTTACACGCTGCTCCGTGTGTTCTTTTAGCTCTCTGCCGTCCTCCCTGCAAGAATGCTGGCCGCTGCGTGCGGAACAATGTGTGCGTCTGCCGTGAAGGATACACTGGTGGGAGGTGCCAAAAAAGTAAGACACCGCCGAACTTACTTACCAACTGCAGGTTAAGCGATCCCAAAGTTGTCGCTGTTTAAGAGCTGATGTCCCATCCTTTCCCCTAAGGCGTCTGTGATCCTATGTGCATGAATGGAGGAAAATGTGTGGGACCAAACATTTGCTCCTGTCCTTCTGGCTGGAGTGGGAAATGGTGCAGTACACGTAAGAATCCTCTTCTTCTCCTCCTCCTCCTCCTCCTGCTCCTCCTGCTCCTCCTGCTCCTCTTGCTCCTCCTGCTCCTCCTGCTCCTCCTCCTCCTCCGCCTCCTCCTTCTTCTTCTTCCTCTTCTTTTTCTTCTTTCTCTTTTTGAGACAGGGTCTTGCTATGCAGTTCAGGCTGGCCTTGAGCTCACTTTGTAGCCCAGTCTGGCCTCAAACTCACAAAGATCCTCCTGCCTCAGCCTCCTGCGTGCTGTGATTACAGGCCTGCACCACCACGCCTGGCTTTTAATGTTTTGTGGGTTTTTTGTCTGTTTGTTTTGAGGAATACTCTTAAAATGCTAAACGCTAAGTGACAAGTGGCAGGCGCTCAGGTTAAACATCACATTCACATGCGTTCTCTTATACAACAAACCTAAAGTATAAATAATTTAAAGAGCAAAATGGAAGGGGGGTAGGAAATAGGGAGACAGACAACGTGGGATGGGAGTGGGATCTGGGAACAGGAGGAGAAAAGCTGGAGCAGGGGAGGGGAAGTAAAAGGACCAGGGTGTGTTACGTGGATGTGCTAATTCCCCTATGATGTATCACAAACATACACTAACAAGAGGAAAAAGTCCCAGGACCGACGTCTTTGGAGAGACTGTCAAACAGGAGTTAAGGCTGCAGTGTTTTCCTCGCTTTCATTTGTTTCTTCGTTTTAATTCTGGCTTATTTAGTCCTGCTTTAGAAGGCATCTCTTTGACATAGACAGAAAAGGCAAAGTTCCTGAAATGATTTTTTCACATTAGCAGAGGGAGAGAGTACATTGCATTTTCTAGTTTTTCAGCTACATTTGCCCCAGATTAAAACAAAACCAACCAAACAAACAAAAACACCTTAAATTCTGTTCTCTTAACCTGAAACAGAGGTCAGAAGGTTTGAAAAGTTCCTAATGCACTGACCTCAACCCAGTGCTCAGGCCTTTCTCAGCTGGGGTGCCACTGCTTTCCGGTTAGTTTCTGAGCTGTAGCAATTCTCATTCTCCCTTTCCAGAAAGTTATCATTTAAAATAAGCAACAGTTGTAGTGTGTAGATCGAGGTGGAAAAATGAGAAGCAAACGTGGCTGCTTCCAACCATTCAAAACACTTACAGCACAATGTATCCAAACAGCGGCTTGTGCAAACTTCTAATTTACATTTTCTAAGAGTGCTGTAAGCTGATTTTGATACACTGTGAAGGGAAAAGATCCTGTAATCATAGGCTTTTAACATTTTCTCTGTAATGAAGTTTTTGTGGTCTGTGACAGGATTTGACGTTTAATTTAAAATGTTAACTTGTTTGTATTTCTGTGCACAGCTGTCTGCTTTCAGAAATGCAGAAATGGTGGTGAATGTGTCGCTCCCGGCGTCTGCCACTGTCCTCCCGCCTGGGAAGGAGCGCAGTGTCAAATCCGTGAGTTCACAGATCTTCTTTCCATTATATAGTCTGACTCTGAACGTGTTATAGTCATTAAAGTATAACCTTAAGAGAAAACCATAGTGGGAAAAGCTTTAGCATGCTGATCCTTTTAAAACACAGGTTTAACAGCTAGGCGTGGTGGCGCACGCCTATAATCCCAGCACTCAGGAAGGCTGAGACAGGAGGATCCTTGTGAGTTTGAGGCCAGCCTGAACTGCATAGTGAGACCCTGTCTCAAAAAAAAAAAGTTTAAAAATAAAAATAAATCTTAACAATTTTTATATCCATTTATAAAAGAGAAAGTGTGACATAATATACTAATTCTTATAAGATCATTTCAAATTACACTCAATGGTTTGCCAATGAAATTTCTTCAGGAAGGCCAAATGAGGTTTTAAAATGCAGAAGTTTAAATACTATTTAATATAATGCATACTTATCCTGGAAACTTAGAAAATATGGAAGAATCGAAAAAATTAACCACCTCAAATTTTATCACCCAAAATTGATTTCTGTTACTTCTTTGGTATTTATATATTTCCATCCAGTTGTACATGCAGATTTCTTTATAAATAAATCCCAAGGTATATAGGAAAATGAATTTTTTTTTCAGTCTTTTTGAGACAGGGTCTCGCTATGCAGTTCAGGCTGGCCTTGAGCTCACTTTGTAGCCCAGGCTGGCCTCAAACTCCCAACGATCCTCCTGCCTCAGCCTCCTGAGTGCTAGGATTACAGGCGTGCACCACCACACCCGGCGGAAAATAAAATTTTATAAAATTCTGAAATTTATGAAAACCTGAAATACCATGTTTGTGTTAACAAAGATTAACTTAACAGGAAAAAGTTTAAATCCTCTAAGAATATTTTCAGATAACCAGTAATTATATAAGCCTAAAATTGCTGGAAAAGTGCACCGAGATTTAGCTGCAAGCGACAGTATCTTTTTACCAAAAACACATACCTTCCCTTGCTGTCTATAATCACCCTGTTGCTTTCATGCATCAGAAATTTTGCAAATAGTTTTCATGACTCTTAGATATTATTTTATGTATTCTATCAGTAATTGCTATTCTAATTTATATGTTTCTTATCCTACAAAAGTATATCAAAGTGCTATTAAGTGTCAGTAGTTACATAAGAAATAGATAATTCTGATCAGAAGCTAGAAGTGTAAAATGCTAGAATGACAAAACTGTGAACCTCACCCTGTGCTGCTTCTGAACTCACTGGACTGACTGTGAGGGAGAGCGGTGAAAATGCTCAGAGCACATGAACGTGGAAATGTACTCCAGTGGTTTGTGGATCGAGGTCTCTGAACTGGGAAATCTGTTGCCACACACCGCAGCACCTTTAGTCATATGACTAAAAAATTTAAGTCCTCAAATGGTTTGATTCCGAGTGTACGCCAACTGTCCTATACATTGACTGTAGTATCTAAACGGGTGGTTGACTGCCATCTCCTGGGAAGTCGGTGTAATAGCTATTCAAATGTACGGCGTCTGTCTTGGTGCATAATTAATTAGCTATGGAGCGCTTGTGCATTATACAGCTTGCCCAACCGTATATAGCATCCCTGATAAAAACACAGCCTGCCGGTGCTGTGTTTGTGTCAAAGGAAATATTATTCCCGAATTGTGAAAGCTTCCAATATTAGACACTGAAGCAGTATCACTCCCTTGAAAAATAACTGTTGTATATAATTTTATAACATATTAATTTTCATTAAATAGTACATGAAAACATTCACCATGTCCTAGAAAACCATAATTTTAAGCAATACAGTAACGTTCTCAATATAGGTACCATAATTCACTTGACCTGTCTGTTCAAGTTTAGTTATTTACAAAGTGTGACTATAAGTAATACAAGCTTTTTCTTTGTATAGGTAGATGATACTAAGACTGAGAGATAGATATTGAGATAGGTATAGGAATTTTTCCAAAGACAGAAATTCCAAAGAAGATCTAGCACAGTGTGAATATGTTTAAGAAAGTTTCGAGCAAAGTGGTTTCACATGAAACTATCACTAGTAATATTGGTTATAGTTGACTCTTTTTTCATATGTAAAACCAGCCATGATTGGCTTTTAAGTTTTTGCTAAGTTATTCAAAAGAAAATTGTAAACATTATCTTTTGTCACTCATTTGAACTTCTCTTGAAAAAGAAAGCTATACTTGAAGTACTTTAAAATGTAGCCAGTAAAATTTTGATTTCCTTTAATACTATCTTTATAAAATTGTAAAAATATTGTCTGAGTTATTTTGGGGGGGTCTGTGTGATCTAAAAGACGAGAGTGCATAGATTTGATCAACCATGAATAGTTCATTAACATTTGTTTTTTAAACCTGTTTCTTTTCTACCGTAATGCAACTACTAGAAAATTTAAAGTTACATGTGTAGCTCACATTAGTTTTCTTTTTTATGGTCAGTGAACATTTTATTTTTTAACTGACACATAGAAATTGTACATATTTATGGTGAATCATGTGATGTTTTAATATATGTATATATCCTGCATTGTAACAGTTTCCTATAACTGTGTTAATGGTCATCTATAAAATCAACTGAATAGCTTCAGACCACTGGAACAAAATACATCAAAGCTTTCGATGTCAAATAGTGATACTCGTAAAACTTTATGCATTGCAGCAGTTTGTAATCCCCAGTGCCTTCACGGAGGAGGATGTGCATTTCCCAATGTCTGTTTTTGTCGCCCTGGATATTCTGGAGTCAGATGTGAAAAGAAGATACAGGTATTTTAAGTTTTAAAGGGAAAATAAATACTGCCTAGTGACGTCTCAATATCTCTTCTACTTAGTAATTAACTCCTGTTAAGGTTTTATTTCCAACATAAAAAGTGGAATTTTTAAGACTGACTTTTACATTTAAGAGTTACTTTTAAAACTGAAAAATATCTTTCCACTTTTGTCTTAATTATATTATTATACAAAATTTTGATGTGCACTTAAAGAATTTCAGTGTATACACACACAGTACAACAGATCGCTCGGAAATGTCTTAAAGTTATATCTATACACTTTTTATATCTATACACTTTTTATATCTATACACTTTTTATTTTAAAAACGGGTTTTATGCTATTTAGCACTTCAAATGGTCCACAGATCATGCATATCAAAGTTTCCTGGAGAACCATAATTTGAAAATTGGTAAGAAGTTTTCTTCTTAAAACTGGACCACTTTGGCTTAGAAATAAAACGGATTTATGTGTGTTTTTCTCCTATCACTGGCTTTCATCTTTGAAGGCTATGTCCCTCATTTTGAAAATCACAGTTTTGCAATAGGGCTATGGTTTGAAAATCAAAGAACAAAAGTTGCAGAGTACTTATGTGATTAGATATTATTTGCAAAAGATAAAAACAAAAGCTTAACCTCTCTGGGTTTGAAGACATGGCAGATATATAATACTTTAATTTTATTTGAGCTTTCTCTGGCTCAGAAAATCTTATGACCTCAAGAACTTTCATCTTTGACAGCACTAAACTAGATTGCTTCTCCATATTTATTTATCAGCTGAATCCTTACATGACCAGTAGTAGATTGCCCGCATCCCCATTAATACTGCTTGTGATAGTGCATCTGGAGTCATACAAAAATAACAAGAACAGAAGGTCATGGGAAGGACACTGTCCTGAAAACGCTTCCTGCTTTACTAAAACTTGATCTCCCGCACTCTTACCTTGAGAATGACTTTATTCTGTTGTTCACTGGTGCCATCAACTTACTTGCTCGGGATATTTCTTTGGTTCTTAAATACAAATTAAACCAAGTGTGGTGGCACATACCTGTAATCCCAGCCCTTGGGAGGCTGAGGCAGGGGGATTGCCAGGAGTTTGGGGTCAGCCTGAACTATATAGTGAGAACCTGTCTCAAATAAAATAAAATTAAATTAAATTTTTAAAATTTCTCTTTAGCATAAAAAAAAAGGCATTTATGGGAATGCCTTCTCCAGAACCTTCTCCAGTGCCTTCCGTTGTCCCGCTTGCCCCTAGCTCTCCAAAGGAGCATTCGGGCTGCTTCATCAATCTCTGGCCTCTCTTCTAGTCCCTTGAGCTTATGGGTTAAAATGGAAACAGAAGGCACTCATTGGATTGTTAGAATTTTCATAAAATAGAGAATTACTGGCTAGAGACAAAAGCCACAGAACAAGAGGAAAACAGGCAAGAAAAGAAAGAGGTGTTAAAGGTGGGGGGTTGGCAAAAAGCTCTGAGAAGAATCATAACCTGCTGTAGCTTCTGCACACACTGACCATTGGCCTTGCTAGTTGTTCTCTGTGATTTTAAGCAAGTTATTTAAGTCCTCTGAACTTCACTTTGTTTACGTGCAATGTGGGAGTAAATGTAGCAACAAATATCTGTGGAGTTTCTAGAATAGCACCTGGGATATAGCAAGCACTGTGTAAAAGTTTTTATTTATTGTATAAAACAGAGGTATATAGAGACATGGAGAAAGGATAGAGAACAAAACTTGAGAGAAAGGGCGCAGTGCATTCTGAATATCTACAGCCCTTCCAAAGGATCTGAGAAAAAAGTTCATTGGTTTTATTACGTGTGAATGTTTCTTAAAGGTAATGCTTTGCTGAGATCACATTTTTTGCTTTTTATTTAGGGCTTTTTTGGCCTTTTTGAGACAGGATCTCGCTATGCAGTTCAGGCTGGCCTTGAACTCACTTTGTAGCCCAGGCTGGCCTCAAACTCGAGCAGTGACCCTCCTGCCTCAGCCTCCCAAGTGCTGGGATTACAGGCTTACACCACTCCGTCTGGTTGTGGGATCACATATTTTGCAAGCTTTATTCAGTCACAGCTGCTTTGATGTTTGAGTATGATCTTGACTGGGTGACATTTTTAGGAAAACAGTACAGAATGGAGTGGCGAACAGTCAAAAGAGCTTTAGGTACAGTGTCATAGGGAGAGAGAAAGGAGATAATGAACAAGGATGAAAAGATTTTCTGCAGTTCAGTGAAACTTCATTTCTTTCTTCCTTCTACAGCTAAAACATCCCTGAGTAACTTGAAGTGTGTGAACTACTGGCCTATATCATAAAAACTGAAACTTCTTAATTCAGAAAAGAACCGAAGATAACTCTGGAAGTATATTTGAGCATCACTTTAAAAACGTTTTAAAGGTGAAAGAAACCAATCGACTATCAAATGATCTCAGGTGTTCCTCATTAGAGAAAAGCAAGAAAGACCTCCACATAATCCAAATTGGACTTCACAGTGTGATTTGATGTTTCCGTAGTGAGATGATGTATCTAGCATTCCTTCATTCACACTGTTTAATAAACTGAATGTTTTCTCAATCCTGTGACTACACTGCGTTGTATCCTGATTTGTATCAAGAGAAATCAGGAACCCACTTGATAATGTCTCCCAAATATACAGTGTGTGAAGCATAGCTAAGGCCTTGCAGGGCTGTTGTAAGAACTGGTGATGAGAATTCAGATGTGGAGGTCCAAAAACAGCTGTCAGAGACTGGAGGGGCTGATGCGGAAGCTTCCAGTCTAAAGCCCCAAGCAGGTACTCCTCAGGAGCTATCCTGGAGCTGCTTGAACAATACCTGAGAATCTTCACAGTCTGGCACCAGCTCTCTGAAGAAACGTGGGTCATTCACGAGCATGTGATAGGAAGTCCGGCCCATCTCTGCAGACACCTGTGAGGAAAATGACAACTCCTCCTCACTTCCTTCTTGGAACTCTCTAGGAGGTTCGTCTCATTGGCAAACTCTTGCACAGAGACCCTCTGTGAAGGGGATTTGCAGCAGGTCACCCAGAAACTATGGATAACACAGCTCCCAGCCTTAGGAAGATACAGAAGTGTTCTGTGTATTGCTGGGGAGGTAACACAAAACTGGCTAAAAGGTCTGTGTCTTACTGCTTTTGACTGTGTTCCGGAGATCCAAGCCATCACTTTACAGTAATAGAAATACTGTAGCATATTTAGTTCTGTCTCTTTTATTTTCTTCTAGTCTTTCTATTGCTTTGACCTGTACCATTCCTGGGCGAGGGGGAAGAAATGATGAACGTTTTGATTTTAGAAGACTCATTCAGTCATACTGTTTAGATGGGAAAAGAACCACGAAATACCTGTATTACCTTTCCCTTCTGTATTAGCTACTTCTCCATTCCTGGAGCAAAATACCTAAACCCACAGCTTAAAGAGGAGAGGTGTATTTCGGCACATCCTCAGAGGATTCATTGCATGGTCAGTTATTTCCAAGGCAGAAACAGCCCACTGGAAGCACATTGCAGAGGAAAGATGCTCTACCGGGGGAAGCAGAGAGAAACGAGAGGAGCTCAGGAGAGAGAGACTCCACACAGAGGCATGCCGCCAGTCACACCTCTATCAGCAGTCCATCTCTAACAGAACGTTTAGCTGTGAAATCATGGATGGATCAGTCCACTGATGACTACAGAGCCACCGTGACCCGAATCACCTTCTTATGAACGCTTATGAAACTTAGGAACACATGAGCTTTGGGGAGATGCTCTTTGGGAGCGTGAGCTGAAAGGGGATATTGGGAACCACACCCTTATCATTCCACTCTCTCACTTCCTGGCCTTGAGGTGAATAGTTTTATTCTGCCACATTAGTATCAAGATGTGCTGCCTCCCCACAAACCCCCAAATGTTAGGGTCAGTCAGGCAGCCTCCGGAACTGTGAGCGAAAGTAAACATTTTTCTCTCTTAAGTCGATAAATATCTGGTATTTGTTATAGTGGCAGAAAGTTTACTAGCAATAATCTATTTTGGTGTAGGAAGTGAGGGAAGTGGTGACAAAACTAAACCCTTCTACAAGAGAATTGGTTGACACAGTGAATTTTTTTTTGGGTACCAGGAATCGAACTCACGACCTCACGCTTGCCAGGCAGGCGCTGTGCTGCTGAGCTATATCGCCAGCCCAAGAATTGGTTGTAGATAATTAAAAATAACCATTATATTAGATGAATTGTTGAAAAGTAAGTGATGTCAACAGGAAATACACATACAACTCTCTGCTTCAGAAATACAAGTAGTTGTCAGAGTTACAAATCTTCTTTGTCCTGTTTCATATTTGACCTCAAATTTTTCAAAGCATTGTGTATCCATCCTAAATTATATAAATTTGTAAAACTCACTTTTTTCTTTTAAGCAGAAAGACTGAGTATTTCTTAGTCATATCTAAGCCATAGGCTAAATTAAGATATAATTGGTGTAAAATTACTTGTAAATTTGATAAGGAACTTTTAAGTATTAGCTTCTAATGTCAAAATTAAAGAGACCTTAACATTCCTTCATATTTATTGAATAGCAATTGTGATTATTAAAGAGAATATAATTAAAAGTTTCACTGATTTTTTTACCAAAAATTCAGAAATAGAAATGCAAAATAAGTATTGACTTAACATGCACTTAAATTTCTAAGATCTTGTGAAAACCTGTGTACTACAAATGGAAAAAACATTATAGATAAAAATGAATAATTGGAATCAAAATTATAGCTATGAAAATAATCATGGTTTTTACATCAGATTCTCTGCCAACTTTTCTTAGTATTGAACAGCAATTTTATTGTCCCATTAAATTTATTTTATGCAACTTTTTACAGTTGAAAAGTTATAATTGCTCAAGAATATATTTTGTTATACCTAAACTAGTATGTTAAAATTTTCACAAACAATTTTTGTAACAGAATTCTCCAGGGAGAGAATCCATTTATAATATGTTCAATGACCTATAAATACTAATAGTGAAGAAACCTTATAGATTTTGTGTAAAGTTACTTATGAAAGCTAATGACTCATGCAAATGAAATTATTGATTTTAAAATATAGTGAAATTTACAAAAGAAAGTAATTTAGTAAACTTATGGGAATGAAATTAACTTTTTTGCTTATTTCTTGGTGATAGTTTTCCATCTATTAAAATATTTTATTTAAAACCTGTGTAGAAAATATTTTTAAAATAATGAGTGGTTCAGAATTTGAGCACAAGTTACTTTAAACTGTGTTTTTTCTTAAGGGTACCTTATAAATAATCTTTCAAAAATAATTTAGATCCAAAACCTCCCTTCATTAATATGCTTGGCCATTTTTTATTCATGTTACCATTAAAACAAAATGTTTATGTTACTAAGAATTCCTGTCTTTTCACTGACCCTCTGTGTAAAATACATTTCTCCCTTTTTAAAATGTTCCTACAACTGGAAGTACAGCTCAGTGGTAGAGTGCTTGGATCAACAGCACTACAAAGGAGGAAAAAATCTGGTAAACCTTATTTAAAATATCACAAACTTTTCCATACAGTGATGCATTTATCTTATTTTTATATCCGTAAATTACAAACTTTAAAATTTCAGATTAACTTTGTTTGGAGATATTTTGGCTCATAATGGAAACATAGATGCATTGTATATAATATAATTTTATAAAGCGCTATATGCAGTTGTTAAAAATATTTATGTCCTTGAGTTTAAACTGTGTGTATCTATATTAGCTCGGTGTACACTCTGTGCTGCCTTTGCTGGGATATCAGACATGACATCTAGAATTTACAGGAGCAGAGGTTCGACTTGACTCCTGATTTCAGAGGGTTCAGGCCATTTTCAGCTGGCTGCATGGCTGAAACACCCTGGCTGAAGGGTATGAGCAAGCAAAGATGCTTCGTTCATGGCGGTGGGAGGAAGAGCAGGGGAACAGTGACAGAAAGGAAGAGGCAAGAGATGATCTGGAGGTGCAACTCGATGGCTCAGCCAAACTCACCCAGAAGTACATTTCATTAATCCTCTGAAGGGTCTAAAGCTAGTCCAATTGATGGGCTACTTTAACCATTGCAGCCCACCCCTTGTCACCATGAAATCCAGACATATCTCCTTAAACTATGCTTAATCTTAAGTAAACACAAGGTCATAATTCCACCTACATAACACAACTATCCTGCATGCAGTCAAACCATCCAGAGAGCTTTGGTGACCCTACTCCTATGGTCATGCTGGCTGCAGCCCACATGATATTTCCTTGGGCTGGCTCTGCTCACAGCCTGCAATATTCCTCAGCAGCTGTTTCCTGTTCCTGGCATCTCCAACTTCCTTGGGTCTCGAAGGCACTTTTGGTTTCAGACCCACAGTTTATACATTGTTCTCTTAGACCTCCTTGCCTGCCCTCTAAGGCCTTTGAAATTTGGGAGAAGGTCTTTATGACCTTGCAACTCTTACATGCCTGTAAAACAAGCATAATGTGGATGATGCCAAGGTCTGCAGCCAGCTTGAGTAGTAGCTGGGTCCCCTTGAATCACGGCTGCAGAGGCCTCCAGGTACCTGACTGACAGCACAGTTAAATGTATTCTGTGGAGTCAATTTCTTAGTCTTTCTCCAGAATGGGCCCAGGTGCTCTCTCAAATGACAGGCTTATACTTTTTCAAACTTGAGCATGTTATGGTTTATATCTATGTGTCCCCCCAAAGCCTCAGGCACTCATAGGTGGGGCTTTTGGGAAGTGGTTAGATCATGGGTGTGTGACTCTTATTACTGAACTAGTCTACTGATGGTTTTATAGCAGGCTGTGATGCTATGAGGTGAAGCCTGGGGGGAATCGGTGGGTCACTGGGTGTGGCCTATATCCCTTCTTCCTTGATCCCTCTCTGCTTCTGCAATGAGCTCTTTCTCCTCTGCCATGACCCTCTGTTGTGCTACCCTGTCTTGGAGCCAGCCAACCATGGACTCAATCCCTATAAACTGTGAGCTAAATAAAGCTTTCCTCCTTTAAATTCTGGGTATCAGGTATTGTGTCTCATCAATGAGAAAAATAAGCATGGGGCATTGCTGATTTCTCAGATGCCTTCTTGTCATTGTTCAAAGTAACTAGTTTGTTTTTAATGGCACTAAGCTCTTTGGCAACCCCACTTCCTTTGACCTCAACTTTACACGTGGTTTCTTCTGGGCCAAATTTTAAGTTTTTCAAAACTTCTTCTTTTGGTTTTTGACTCCCATTCTCATATATCTGACTAAAAGTAGTCAATAGTACCCATGTCACTTCCTGAACATGAGGCTACCTTTCCTCAGTCAAGGTTTAACCCTTAAACTCAGCCTCCCACAAAGTCTCAGTACATGGGTGAAATGTAGACAATTTTTTTTTTTTTTGCCAGAATGTAGCACACATGGCTCTTGTCCATTCCCTGGTAGAATCCTGTTTCTGATGGAAACCTCATGAGACTGACCAGTGTGGCTGACATTCCAATCAGCAAACTGGTCTTCTGATCTCAGGCTTTGCTTACCGGATTGTGGAGTTTCTATAATCTGCATCCTGAAACCTTTCCAAATGCCTACTGCAGACTATTTCCAAAGGTTTCTGAACCTCATGTGCATATACGCTCATAACAACAGACCACTTCCTGTACCAATTTCTTGTATGAGCTTTCCTGTTGCAGGGACACAATACCTGACACCCACCGCTGACAGGAGCAGGGGTTTAATTTGGCTCATGGTTTGATATGCCATAGTAGACTGGCTCCAGGGCATGAATGCAAGGCTGAAGGGCATGGAGAAGAAGATGTTTAATTCATGGTGGCTGGGAAGCAGAGTAAGGAAATAGTGCCAGAAATGAAGGGGCAAGGGACCAGACATAGATCAGAGGTTCACACCTCCATTACCCGCCCAGACACATCCAGAAGTGTACTGTATTAATCTCTGGGCTGGTTCCCAAGCCAACCAACATGACAACCCCCATTAATCATCATCCAAAATTAGTATCATACTCTGAAAAGTAGGAAATTTAAGTGGAATACACTAATTCTTATATAATGAATACTGAATAGCAACATGATTGATACTTTCTCAGTCACCATTTGGCAGTGTTACCAGAGATATCAACTCGATTCTTGTTTATAGGGAAGTGAATTCTGACAAAGTCCTTAAAAATTGCATGTCACAATTTTTTGTCTGATGAAACAGATGAAATATTTGAAAAGAACGGTAAAACAGCTGTGCCGGTTTCATTGATATTTACTATTGAAAAAGAAACTTGTAAAACCTGCTCCCAAGTGATTTTCATTTTTCACAAGTCTGAGCTTTTAATTCCAGAAAGCAGTCTGCTTAAACTGACCTTGTTCACTAGTTCTTATCAGGTTTTTGGTTTTTTTTTCCCCTGGTTCTCAATTTGGCTCACAAAGACCACCACTTCACACACTTCCAACTTTTTCCTGAATGTGAAAATGACAGGAAGGAGCCTTGACATTCTCTTCTAATTAGTATGCAGTTGGAGTACGTTAGATTCATATCTATCCCTGACATTGAAGAGTAGGGAACTACCCTCGTTATCCCTACCTTTATTTTCTACCTTCATCCTGAGAGTCCTCCTTGGGTAGAAACTGACTTCCTTTTTCTCAGTTGGAGCCACCATGTTGAAGGATTGTTTGATTCAACTCAGTAGGAATGGTGGTTGGTGAAAAGGTTATGGCGATAGGAATAAGAAGTGAAGCTGAGGTGAACAGGAGCCTAGAAGCAGTTGAAGCAGGAGACACACTGTTTTCTGTCCTTGGCTTCTCTGTAAATCTATAGTTCTCTGTCCATTGCTGCTTTTCATTGATTTTTTTCAGTACCCAGTGTGACTACCGGATCTACCTCATGAATGATAAGTTCTGATAAGTGCCATCAATCAGCCCAAAAATTATATCATTTGGTTCAAAAGGAAAATCTTAATCAAGGAAAATCTAGGAGTGTGATGATCAGTCCGTACATTGAATAGGCTTGAGCTATAACTGTCCCAGGGCAATCGACCATAATCAAGGCTGAAGAGTTTAAGGGTGGGTGGATCCATCTGCTTATTAGACTGTGGGGAAGCTCATTTTCTGAGCTA